CTGGAAAGCAGATACTGTACCTATCAATGAATGACTTCTTAATTTTAAGTGAAGCTTACATCACTTTTACAGGGTATCTGGCTACATATACAGTATTTCTTGTCCTTAAGTCACTATGTTTCCCATGGTTGGATCCCTAGTTGGTAATTCATACTTTGCCTCCCAGCTGGTCAAAAAGGGTTCTCATAATTCCATTAATTTTCCTAGAGAATCATAAAATCATGAGTTCCTTTCCTGTTTTAATCAATGAATTATTGTCAAATTGCTCTTCAAATTTTTATAAATAATATATAGGAAAATTTCACTACAGCAAGAATTGTTATTTTCCCAATTCATATTTCTTTTCCCCAGTGAAACTTGTATTTTTTAGTTTGCGCCAAACTAGGAAATAAGACAGTTATTTTATTTCCTCTCCTTGTGCATTCACACAGAAAGGTTTTAGGCATTCCTGAAGCTCCATTCATGCTTCACATGGATCAACTATACCTGGGGGTCTGCCCCTATTGCCACCTGAGCTGTTCCTCCTACTCAAATTTTTTTTTTTTTTTTTTTTACTCACCATTTGATCCTGAACACCACAAAGATGTGTTTTGGGGGGGACAATACCCCAAACTAACTGACTATTGAAAATTTAAGCACTCTATGATAAAACTGCAAACATGACCCATTAAACTCTCAGACTTGGTGAGGGTCCCAAACTGGTATGTATTCTGCATGGTCTGTATTCTGTCACTTGAGGATACTAGACATTGCCAGCAGGAGCCTGTTTTACCTTCATATTCTAATCTTAGATGATAATGGCTGGGATTATAATGACTGTGAAATGTGTATCATTTACAGCATTCAAATGAAAATAAGAGAAGTTAGAAAGTATCTTAGCATTTCATTCATTTGCACACAAAAGGCACTATATATAGTACATGTGAATGAATTGTACACTTTACATTTGACACATCTGCCTCAAGGGAACTTCAATTCTGAATGTCTACTTGAGGTAAATATTAACAGAATACCAAATGCCTGGGCTTGACATATTTGTATAAAGTGAAACAGAAGTAATTTATAAATGTTATTTTGTATTTCTTCTCACTCATAGAAAATAATGTTTCTGCAAGTGCGAGATCCTTGGGTGAAGGATCAAAATACATTTCTGTTTTCATTTTTTATTCTTTAATACAGAATAGTTCAAACTGGATACAAGTCACAGTACTTCCTGGGAATTTTTTCTTTCTTATATTTTCTTCTAAATATATACTCTCATGTTCCATTTATGTTTTATTTTTATTATTTATGTATGTCACTTGGACATTTTCCCCATTGAACTTTATCCAGTTGTCTCTGTCTGTCACATAGAGCACTAAATACCTGATAACATTTACATCACAACTAAGAACCTCAACCGTGCATGGTCCAAACATCTTTACAATTTTTATGTGTATTTTCAAATTCATTACTTTATAAGTGAAATGGAACTTAACATGTCAATGCGATAGTGAATCTAGAATATGTTCAGTAGGGACTAAGGGGGAAAGATGGTGACTTTCCAGCCAAAGATGTCATATAACTTATAGGATAAATTAGGTAAAATAGTGGGGACCCAGAGGGCTTCACATGATGTAGAATTTGTATGAATCTAAAGGAAAACCATACGTAGCAAAACTACTGACCAAAGAGGAACCTAACAGTGTGTGAGAAGAATACCAGGTATAGAGTGAGGTGTGGAGCAAGACCCCAGTGATCCTGAAACGGACACACAGGTGTGAGAGGCTCTGGAGGCTGGAGACTCTCTCCCACCTTTTCCATGCTTTCTTTGGGGCATGTCCATCTAGATGTGGGGAAATACTCAACTATAAGAAGATCATCTTAATTGTTTTTAAGTATTAGAGAGAATTTGTTCAAGGTAATAAAAGCAAGCGGCCCTTGGATTTTCCCTCCCTTAACTGGACAATTCTCTACATTCATTTCCATTAATTCTCTTCCACCATCAAGTAGCTAAAGTGGGAAAAGCACCAGTGGTCTCTGTTCAAATATAAACCATCTCTGATGGTTGGCATTTGCTTTTCAGCCAAGTAGACAGCATCTGAGTTTTTTGTTCTCGTGCAATTCTGCAAATTCCTGGTATTCACCTTCTTACCGGTATCTGGACAAGTAGTAGAGAGTTAGCTTCAAAAATCAAAAAGCTACCCAAATAGTGTAGTGATTTCCTAAATTGCTCACTTTTTCAATGTAGCACAAAGTTCTTCACAAACTTTAGGGCATGTGCCTCATGAACACATTTTATAGGTAGACACAGAGCTAAACAAGAGACAAGGGCCTCGATGAAGACCTGTGTGTGCAGATAGGTGGCATTGCTCGGGACTCCTCCCAGGTATTCTGTGGGAATGGGGTGGGTGTGAGTCAAGCAAGGGGAAGGACCCAGGAATCAATCCCTCAGCACCTTCTCACTAGGAAGGAAAACTCCAAAGCTGCTATCTGTACTGCCTTCCTGGCTAGCTGGTACACAACTCGTATGCTCACATTAACATTTAGTGTACATTTTAATGATTCAGTTACTAATCTAAACCCCCATACATTTTATAATGCAAATGAACAAGTATGTGGTAGATCATAAATAGCAACACCTAAAACAGTAATTTCAGCTTTTTTTCTAACTATAAGTAAAAACTGTACCCTTCTTAATAAAAATATCAGTTTTAAAATCTACCATTTTGAATCTGACATTTAAAAAATGCATGCAGAGGCCTAGAACAGGAAGCCGAAGGAGAGTGGGCACGAGATGGGTGCTCAGAGAAGGAGAGGCAGGGGTCTGTGGCGAGAAGACCCAGTGAGGATGAGGACCAGGACTGCCTGGCACCTCCACCGGTGCCAGCCCACCCATGTGCCCAGGACCCACCCGGTCCACAGTGCTGAACTGCGTTTGGGGAGTATCGCAGGTCTGTGTTGCAGTGGGACTCTGAAGACAGCCTCGAGTCTCAGTTTAATGATGCTAGACAAATCTATGTCTATGATTTAGAAATGGAAAGTGAAGCGAGAAATTTCTGGTGTCTTCATGGTCCCTGGAGGTCATGATTTTTCTTGTCCTCAAGGAGTATGATATTCTAAAAATCAAGCAATAGCACAGAGCTCAAAATCTTACCTTTGTTTTTTGGATACCAGGAGCACAGAATTGAATTAATCATGATCCTTGGTTTAGGAGACCTCATCATTTGTGAAAGCATGGCCCATTTCATAGATTTCTACGTTTATTATTGTACCTGTATACAGATTTTAAGTATCCAGTATAAGCATCTATGGGCCTGACCACATTCACCACCTGGCATCCTCTACCTGATAACCATTGGCCCAAATCCTATACTCATCTCTTGCTCTCCTTTTCTAATCTCTTGGTATCTATATGTATCTTAAAAAAATTCTAAAAGTCTTCCTTTTATTTAACTTTATAAAAAGGGTATCATGCTGTATATAGTATTTTGAAACTTTTAAAATTTAATATTACTAAGATTCATCCATATTATTACAAGCCATCATAGTTCATTTTTTAATTAAATAACACATACAGTGAAATGCAAAATTTCAGTGTGAAAATTATGTACAAAGTGAACAAATTGATGAGTTTAGATAATTGCATACACCCATGTAACTGATTCATCAATCAAGATATAGAACATTTCCATCACCCCCAGAAAGTTCCCTATACTTTCATTTTTTTCATACTCACTTCTGTAGTAACCGCTGGTGTGACCTACACCACCACAGCTTAAGTTGCCTATTCTATTTTATGTAAATGAAATCATATAGTACGTATTCTTTTGTGTTTAACTTTTCACGCAACATAATGATCGCCCATGATATATTGTGCATCAGTCATTCATTTTTTTATTATACATTGTATGCATCTACCAAAATTTGTTCCATACTTTACATGGACATTTGGATTGTTTCCAGTTAGGGTGCATCTATCCAATGGAATCCTACTAGCAATAAAAAAAAAACAAACTGAACTTCTGATACATGGGGCAACATGAATGACTCTCAGAAGCATTACGCAAATGAAAGGAGTCAGACACAAAAGGCTACATGCTATATGAATTCGTAAATATAACATTCTGGAAAAAGCAAAGCCTTAAGGACAGAAAATACATCAGTGGTTTTAAGGGTTAGGGGGAGGAAGGAATTGGTTACAAACGGGCAAGAGGGAACACTGATAGAAATGTTCTACATCTTGAAGTGGTAGTAACACAACTGTGTGGGTTGTCAAAACTTACAATTGTATACCTAGAAAGGGTGAGTTTTACTGTATATAAATTATATCTCAATAAACGTTACCTTAAAATATAAAATAGATGTTTGAGAAAACCTGCTAATACATCTAAATAATTACGGTGAACTATAACAGATAATTCCTGCCTCTCTCTCTACTCTATAAAAAAGGGTGGGTGGGGGGTGTCCCTGTCCTGAGCATTTGGTTTCAAACAGGAATGTCCCGATTGTTTATTTTCTAGATTGCCAAGTTAGATTACTATCTAGTTTAATATCTGTTTAAAAATATATATATGTGGGACTGGCTCTTGGTAAGATTATCAGGAAGAACTGCCTATTCAAGATCAAGTAACTCACTTGCTAATTGTTTTTGCCAGCAAATAGTGGTGGCATGGGCTGGAATAATAGCAGAGACATTCAGAAACTATAACTTACTTTTGAACTGTCAGACTTTAAAGATAGAGCTGTTCATAAACAGGGACACAGGAATGCAAGAGAAGAAACTTTCACAAACATACAAGATTGCCCTTTATATTTTCCTACACCAATTACAGTATATAACAGTTAATATTAGGGAATCTACATATACTGAAGATTGTTCTTCCAAGAATGTGGAAATACATAAAAATTGCATTGAATTAATATACTATACACCTCTCTTGTTTATTGACAAAATGCTTGGGATCCTTATTTAACACATAGAATTTAAAATATATTCTTGCCATTTTGTCGTGTCTTAGATTCTTGGGAGCTATAACAGAGGAAATTTAAGCACTGAAAAATTTGTGGAAGAAATAAAATCAATTGCAAGTGAACCCACTGAAAAGCATTTCTTCAACGTCTCTGATGAATTGGCTCTAGTCACTATTGTTGAAGCTCTGGGAGAAAGAATATTTGCCTTGGAAGGTATGACTAGTTCTTGTAATCCTGTATGTTCTGTCTACAATGCAAAGTCAATGTAATGGGTTTTTGGTATTTATTCCTACTACTACATGGGTCGTGCACTTTTACTGTGTACAATAGCCAGCATGGAACGGTGCCCTTTTATGTAAATCTTTCCCTGAGATGGCTATCTCACATTAGCACCGTGTCTGTCGGCAGCTCTCTTTGTAAGGATGTGGGGGTTGAAGGAAGGCAATGGTCAGTGTAGACTCACCAGAACAAAAAGGTGCCCGCGTATTGTTAGTCCTTTTCTGTGACACGGCTTTAGAAAATGGAGACACTAACTCAACTTTTCCTTTTTAATTTGTTTATGTTATTTTGGGCTTCTATGGAAATGTTCTTGTTTGCAGTAACTTTGTTGTTCATTTATTTTCTCCTGTTTTGCTTCTTGCCCACTTTAAAGGTCTTTTACGGAACTCTGTCTCAACTCCCATGACAGTAAAACATTGGTTCACTATATTTGTCTAAGTCATAATTCTTTTTTGTAGAATTTTTTTGATTTTGCAATGACGATTGGCTACTGAGGATAATGAGTCATGGCATTCCTTCCTCTGCCTTTGGTAGATGTCAAGTAACAAATTACTTTGAAACTAGCCTTTGCCTGACAAAAAAAAAAAATAAGTCTTTGGAATTGTTATGCCAGGAAAACTTAAAAAAAAGCCTCTTTGTTCATGTTCTCTGATAACTGGAGCCTAAGAGAACATGCCTCTTTCCCTTTTTCCAGAGAGTTCTACTCTTATGCCTCATCCGAATCCAATGGACCCTGTCCTTGTGAGGACACACGGAAAGACTGTTGTTTTGCATCTTAAGCACAGAAATTTAAAAGCACATTCTCAGTCACCCTGATACGACCTGATAATGGGAAACAGAAAGATAAAATGAGAAAGAGACATAAGTAAAGCAAAGTAGACCACTTTGAGCATCAAATGACCAGGAAAATGCAAAAAGTGACTAACAACAGAATATTAAAATGTATAGAAAGGAAAGAGTCACGAGGCATAGCATATTTATTATCATGGGTCACTAAAGGGGAGTAAAATAGGCCACCCCAAAATATGTCACTTTGGCATGTAGATTATTTTGAGCTGAAGGCAATCAAGACCCAGCAGACTCAGGAAAAACTTTAACCTCTTCCTTAACTACCTAAAAGAATTTATACAGGGGGGCTGGTCAAGAAAAAGAGCTATAACCAAGGATAACTTTTTAATCTGAAAAATCTATCTGCATGGCAGGGCAAACTTCTAATTATGAAACATCTGTTCCTCTTATGTCCATTGAACTGCCCTCCTCCCTTTGCAGCCCCTGGCTCCTCTCCCAATCCTTAGGTCAGGATGGTATATAAGCTTCAATTGCCCCCACTTGACCTTCAGTCTCATATTTTGGGGGTGGGGGGTCCCATATGAAATTAAATTTGTTTTTCTCCTGATAATCTGTTTTAGGTCAAGTTAATTATTAAACCAGCCGAGGAAGGGAAAATTTTTCCACTCCTGCATGACCCAGTGCACATACATGTATGTAGAAAAATCAAACAGAATTTCACAAAATTACTCTTATTATGTACAAAGCACTCTGATAGTTTCTCATTTTCGTTCTCTCTTCTCTTTCAATTAAAAAAAAATGCTGGTGGTGACTCACCCTGATGATTTCATGACCCATAAGTGACAGATTTGGTTTAGATTTGATGAGCAGCTACAGCCCATGCAGACTTCATTTCTCTGCTTCCCTTTTGCCCCACCTGCCCTGTGCCTTTAGAAACAGAACACTTGAATTACTTATCCATCTGAAGTCGCAGCTGCGTCTAGAGAACTTGGCTTTCCTGCATTCTGTACGCAAGTCACTTTTAAGTGGCTTTGGTCTCACAGTAGCTATCCCAGTGTCATTTACTAATAGGCCAGACCATAAGCTTCACTGGCCCCAAGGAAATAGACAAAGTTTTCCAAGTCATTGTGTACTTTTAATTTTTAATAATGTGATAAGTCAATAATGTGATCTGTGATATGATAGAAACAATCTGTAAAGACCATTTAAATGAAAATTACTTAGTTACATTAGATAAGCACAATACAGTTTCAATTTTAAACCTCATCTTAAGTAAGCAAATAAATATAACCTTACAGAACCTGTAGAAATGAAGCCTGTATCAGTGGTTGTGGGAAAAGGAGCCCCGTTTGCCTTAAATGACATTTTTGTGTTGCTTCTAAATTATCTACACCATTAGTTAAAGATTACACATTGGAATGCCCCGAAACTATAAGAAGTCTGTATATTTAAAAGCAAAATTATTTTTTTAAATGTCCACAGATTAAAATGTCTCCCGCATCTTTATTGCTACACTTTGTGGCCTAACCAAATGCAGTGTTTTGACTAGCCTATTTAGGATTTTCTTCATAATGACAGCAGAAAGGGCTTCATTTCCTTGTTACTTGAGAAGTGTCCACTTCCTATCAACATTTATCTTTAGATGGTAAATAGCAGCGATTATGAAATTCCTGTTTGCCACAGACAGCACCACCTAGTGATGAGAACACGCCACCAACTTGCCCAATCAAAGATCAGAAAATGGTCTGTCTCCCTTTCCCAGCAAATGTTGGGGAAAATGCTGAAATTCCCAACCAGACGCCAAGCAGTGGGGAGAGTGGTTATCCCAGTACTCATGAAGAGTCCTGGGAGGAGTTGACAGCAAGTTCAGAGATGTGCAAGGGGCTCTCACCATGAGGAGAGTTCAGCAGGCGGAATGTCACATAACTCCCTTCCCTCTGTTCTCCGCTGTAAGCAGAACAGCAGGAAGAGAAAGTACTGGATATATGCAGGGTTTTGCTGCTGTGCTCTTAAGTTGGCCTTGCAAAGATAAATAAAAAGGCACCATAAAGCATTGTGGACTTAAAAACTTAAAGTGTACTTCAGTCATTTAAAATTAGAGGATAATTCATATGTGAAATTAAAATGATACATTTGGATTCTTGATTGATATCCCTATTTAACCTAGTCCTAAAAAAAGGCAATCACTGATGTATTTGTTAACAAATTTATGACAGCAAATAGCTAGTAAATAAGTGTGATTTCACAAGTTTAATTATTCTTATGCCTCAATGAGAGGGCAGACTGACTCTTACAATTATGCACTATTTTTAACTTATTTGCAAAGCCAAATAAATCAGTAACTCCCTACTTAAAGTAAATGAATCAACATTCCCGCAATCCCCTTAGGAGGTTGTGGCTTTGGGTTGGTGAATATTTTGAGAGTAGCACATTTTCCATGGAATGCTCTGGATTATCTCTGTATTTCAGTAAAGAGCCTAAAAATGGGTATAGAATCTTGCCCACAGAAATCCTCGTTAAAAAATTTTCAGATTCACGGAGCTCTTAGAAAGATAAAAAGACCTAATGCTTGCTACTGAACCTCATTACAGACCATTGACTTAAAAAAATGGGTACAGATTCTTTTTTTTATTTTATTATGTTATGTTAATCACCATACATTACATCATTAGTTTTCTTTTAATTTTTTTATTGTTATGTTAATCACCATATATTACATCATTAGTTTTTGATGTAGTGTCCCATGATTCATTGTTTGTATATAACACCCAGTGCTCCATGCAGTTTGTGCCCTCTTTAATACCCATCACCAGGATAACCCATCCCCCCACCCCCGTCCCCTCTAGAACCCTCAGTTTGTTTCTCATAGTCCATGGTCTCTCATGGTTTGTCTCCCCCTCCGATTCCCCCCCTTCATTTTTCCCTTCCCACTACCTTCTTTTTTTTTTAAACATATAATGTATTATTTGTTTCAGAGGTGCAGGTCTGTGATTCATCAGTCTTACACAATTCACAGCACTCACCATAGCACATACCCTCCCTGATGTCTATCACCCAGCCACCCCAACCCTCCCACCCCCCACCACTCCAGCAACCCTCAGTTTGTTTCCTGAGATTAAGAATTCCTCATATCAGTGAGATCATATGATACTTGTCTTTCTCTGATTGACTTATTTCGCTTAGTATAATACCCTCTAGTTCCAACCACATTGTTGCAAATGGCAAGATTTTGGTTTTTTTGATGGCTGCATAATATTCCATTGTGTGTGTGTGTGTGTGTGTGTGTGTGTGTGTATATATATATATATATATACACACACACCACATCTTCTTTATCCATTCATCTGTTGATGGACATCTTGACTCTTTCCATAGTTTGGCTATTGTGAACATTGCTGCTGTAAACATTGGGGTGCACGTACCCCTTCGGATCCCTACATTTGTATCTTTGGGGTAAATACCCAGTAGGGCAATTGCTGGGTCATACGGTAGCTCCATTTTTAACTTTTTGAGGAACCTCCATACTGTTTTCCAGAGTGGCTGCACCAGCTTGCATTCCCACCAACAGTGTAGGAGGGTTCCCTTTTCTCCGCATCCTCGCCAACATCTGTCATTTCCTGACTTGTTAATTTTAGCCATTCTGACTGGTGTGAGGTGGTAACTCATTGAGGTTTTGATTTGGATTTCCCTGATGCCGAACGATGTTGAGCACTTTTTCATGTGTCTACTGGCCATTTGGATGTCTTCTTTGGAAAAATGTCTGTTCTTGTCTTCTGCCCATTTCTCGATTGGATTATTTGTTCTTTGGGTGTTGAGTTTGGTAAGTCCTTTATAGATTTTGGATACTAGCCCCTTATCCGATATGTCATTTGCAAATATCCTCTCCCATTCTGTCGGTTGTCTTTTGGTTTTGTTGACTGTTTCCTTTGCTGTGCAAAAGCTTTTATCTTGATGAAGTCCCAATAGTTCATTTTTGCCCTTGCTTCCCTTGTCTTTGGGGATGTTTCTAGAAAGAAGTTGCTGTGGCTGAAGTGGAAGAGCTTGCTGCCTGTGTTCTCCTCTAGGATTTTGATGGACTCCTGTCTCACATTTAGGTCTTTCAAAAAATGGGTACAGATTCTTAAAAAAATATGTGATTGTATGGCATGTGACCTAGAGACCATCAAAAAGTTCCTCCCAATTTGTGAGTGATACCTACCACCAGAAATTAGAGCAAATACAAACCCAGAACCCCTCACCCTTTATCAAATAATGGCATTCTGAGAGGATCTGTAGCTGGAAATACAGGTGGGGCTGGTAGAGTCAAGAGACCTCTTTAGATATGTGAATAAAATTATTTCAGCCCTGAAACATAGCAGGCAAGTTTAGCCTAATGTGTGAGCAGGATTCCGATGGTGTGAGGGGAAGACAGAGATTTTCAATCTCAGTACTTTCAACTTTAACCCCCTGGATCCAAAGTGCCATTATCATCCACAGGCATCCACAGTGTAAGAACAGAAGCATGAATGGAGATTTCTCAACTTCTCCAGCAAGGGTGGGGAAGCCATCAGTCAAGAATTTAGACATGGCCCTTCTGCTAACCTTCTCTGTCCTCCACCCAGCCCTACCTAGGAATTTTGGGTTGAGAAATGTGTGGCTGAACATACCCAAAAGATGTTGGAAATTCTGGTTTGTAAAGAGCCCAGACTGTAATTGGCCTCTGTCTTCTCCAAATCAACAGTGTGCTAACAGGCATTTATGTTTCTGTTATAGCTACAGCTGACCAGTCAGCAGCTTCATTTGAAATGGAAATGTCTCAGACTGGCTTCAGTGCTCATTATTCACAGGTACATTGACCACTTGGTAGAAAATGAAGTATCTTTTTTTTTTTAAGGTTTCCACTCCCAAAAGCAATGCCCAGGCATCAGCATTATAAGTGCAACTAGCAGTTCATGGCTTGAGCGGTTATTCCAACTGTGATGATGTTCCTAATCCAAATAGGAAAATGACATTTCACAAACTTACTAGGAAAATGAGTTCTTCCACACAGTTCACTACACTGTACTAATAATTGTGAATCAAACATTTTGAGGTCTGCCTTATGTAATTATACATCTGGCTAAATGAAATACTTAACTTAAAATGGTTTCTAATGATATGGAATGTATCTTTTTCTCAGTTTCAGTGTATTCAAAGATCTTACTAGAATTCCATGTTCAAGACCTAGGATTCTTGAATTAACAGAATTAAACAGAAAGGCAAGATTAGGAAATGTATCATTTGTAGTTGAGGAAAGAAAATGCATCAGAGTCCATGCAAAGGAATATTAACATTGCAATGGGCAATTGTACTATACAACTTAGGGCAAGTTACTTACTCTGCCAAGTTACTATCATGTTATTGTGAAAATTAAATGAGTTAATATATGTAAAGCACTTTGACCAGAACCTATCACATTGTTAATGCTGTGTTCTTACTATTTTGTTAAATATCATTTGTTTTCTGTCTTTGGATATAAGGACTGGGTCATGCTTGGAGCAGTAGGAGCCTATGATTGGAATGGAACAGTCGTCATGCAGAAGGCTAATCAAATCATAATCCCCCAAAACACAACCTTTAACGTTGAGTCTACCAAAAAGAATGAACCTCTTGCTTCTTACTTAGGTAAAGTTTGGATGTAATTGATAGAAAATTATTATGTTTTATTTTTGGTTTTGTTTTTATTTTTAGCATTCTTTGCTTATATTTATATAGGCTTACTTATAACCAAGTAAGACAAATCATTTCCAAGAGTTAGACATTTTACAGGACCCATGAAAATTCTAAAGCAGCCTTAGTTTCTGAGCAGTAGTCAGAATAATAGAACATGGAGGTCATGCTCTCTCAGAAGTGCAGGAATGGTTTAGGCTGATATGTGCACTTTTTGAGGTCTCCCTGTTTGGTATTCTCATTAACTTCAAGAAGAGCTTTGCACCTGGTGGACAGGAAATTACGATAAAAAAGAGAAACCTTGATTCAGCTAATATCCTGAAGGTCAGACTCCCATTTTCTCTTAAATATCCTATATCATTGGTTTCTTTCTATGGGTCCTAATTTTGGAAAAGAAAATGTTAATTTGTCTTGATATATAGCTTCTTCTTTAATAACTCTATTAAATAAGACAAATATTAAGATGTAATATCATCTTATTTTTCAAAGACTTTTCTGGAATGAGGAGTTATATGTCAGGAATCACCTTATTCTAGATCTGTACCAAGCTGCCTAGAAGATACCAGGAATCTTTTCTAGCACTAAATGATCTCAGTAAACAATTAGGAGGGCCTAGGATGAAAAAAAAAATGCTCAGGGTATGGTTTCCCAACTGTTCACTCACTCAACAAATATTTGACCGGTACCTATTTTGCCCCAGGCATTGTTCTTGGTGCTGGGGTGTAGTGGTAAAGAAAACAAATACCTTTCACTGTTCAATTTTAGTATGTTAGCATTCCTCTCTGGGATCTTTCTGTCCTGGAGGCAAGTCTTTTTCTCTCTCTATTCCAGTTTATTTCTATTTTACAAGGAAGATAGGAGGTCTTTACTAGTAGATCCATACATCTCCTTATTCAAGGACACATCTTAAAACTGTAGAGGCAACAAGACTTAAGAAAAATGAAAGGCCTGAGGATTTAAGATAATTAAAAATATGGCAGTGAGCAGCAAATATAACGTGAGTCCTCAAACCCCTTAACACATGTTGAACTGCATTCATGAAAGTCTAGTTTATTTCTCATAAAAGTCCTATTACATTCTGCCCTGGTCAGACATTACACATAACAAAAGAAAATGCCAGACTAGGTTGTGCTGATTAAAAGATTATCTAAAGGATACTGATCTGGAAACAATTCCTTTCTCTCCTTTCCCACCCCCGACAAAATTTGAAGAAATTAATGGTTAGGAAACAAAATGTACACTGCATATCTTTTAAGTATTTGGAGGATTGTACTCTAACATAAAGAGGTTGGGCTCAAAATTCATATACATTAAAAGAGATCTTAGCATATGGTAAACATCCAACTTTCCAAATTAGGATATTAAGGAATAGAAAAATGATGTCACAGCTACCTATGACAGATCTGAACTAGAATCTAGGTCTCTTGATTCTATTCCAGTGTTCCTTTCAAAATTAAAGACATTTACAAAATTAAAGATATGGCATGAAATCCACAAAGATGTGTGTGACATCTTAAGAAGTTCACACATTTTGGGGCACCTGGGTGGCTCAGTTGTTTAAGCGTCTGACTCTTGGTTTTAGCTCAGGTCATGATCTCACGTTCCTGGGATTGAGCCCTGAGTTGGGCTCCATGCTCAGTGCAGAGTCTGCTTCAGATTCTCTCTCTCCCTCCCTTTCTCTCCCTCCCCCCACCCTTGCATGCATGTGTGCACTCTCTCTCTAAAATAAATAAATAAAATCTTTTTTAAAAAAAAAGCTCACACATTTTAATAACACTAGGTTTTTTTTATATTCTGAGTTATTATTATATGATAAAATTCCTTAAAACCAAAGAGTCTTAAGAATCCTAAATCTATTATTCCCGGAAAGCTTAGATTCAAGGTTGCTTAAAGCAGGCTTAGAGAATTTAAGACTTAAGGATATCACTGTGAGCGAGAAAAAAACTAAGAGAACCTTCATTCGTAACCACAGTATTTATAACATATGATTTCTTTCTGCCCAGAAAAGGAAATTTGGGGGTATGTTGTCCACAATGTGCTTAGATGATTTTATATTTTAGAAATCATTTCATTAGCTTAATCACAAGTTAGCACATAAGATATTTTGCCAACATAAAGTTTAAGATATATAAGATTTCTTTTAAAATAGAAAAGCACCTAGAAAGGGGACAGGGAAGAAAAATACCTTTGTACCCACAAACATTATTCTAAATCTAAAATGGAACTTTCAAAATGTCTGCTTGTATGGGTTACAAATTAAGAAGAGTTTGAATGTGTTAGTCTGAAATCTGTGTGGATTGCAAGTTGTTAGGCTGTGGAAAATCTCATGGAGGAAACAAAGTGAGAGGTAGATGCTCTATAGAAAAAAAAAAAATCTCATAGTAATCAATAATAACCAGAAAAAAGTAGGAACAGAAACTGTTGAACCTCTCTCAGGGTATAGTCATTCACTCATCTTTCCACAACCCAGGAATTGCCTTAGGACACTATGCACTTAGCAAGTGGATTTGATGGTGAGAGTACAGTGGAAATCTCATTCCCTGCCTCCACTACCCACGGTCTGCCTCTTTCTAATCATGGCAGACAAATTCAAGAGAAAAAGTAAAGATGTGAGGCAAATGCATGAAACCAAAGCAGAACAGACCTGTTTCCCATTATCTCACCAGATTCGAGCACTTTTCCCAAGGAGTGAATTATGAGAGCTGACAGGATCTATTTCTTGTAAATCCATGCAGAAGGCTATGCGATGAATTTTCCTTTTTCTTCAATTTTGTGCTTTCTCTTCAGAAAGCAACATTAAGCTTAGATGTTTATAATTATTTTCCTTTCAAGAAAATTAGACTTTACATGGCTTTCTTTCTCTCTCCCTCCTTATTGTCTTTAAACACTTGAGCTTCAACCAGTAAGGACCTAACCAGTAGACTACTGTCTTTGTGAAGACTTAAGTTAATAGATGTAGCTATCAAGAGCAAATTATCAGAATTAATTAACCAAATAATCACACAACCCCAAGCCTCAAACATAATTTTTTAACTTTTTTTAAAGGTTCCTTTATCAGTTGGCCTTCATAGCTCTGAAACTTAAAAAAAAATCAAAGTGTACTAACACTCTTGGGCCAATCCCTTCTTAATATTTCTTAGTAGAGTGATATGAAATAAGACAGTCTTTGTTTTGCACATTCTTCTTTTTTATTTTATTTGTGTATAAACATGACCTTAAAGTTTTTATTTTTTAAGCAATATTGTGGTTAGTAACATAAGTACTTGTTTAGTAACATTACTTGTTTGAAAAAGAATAGTTTACAATTTATTATGCATGGTTTTTTTTAGAAGCTCAAAGAAAGATGAAGAAATGAGAATGTGAGAAAAATATTCATGAAGGAAAAATGCCTGAGGAATTGTGTTCCTTTAGCACTTGTGAGATTAAACATGTTTTAGTACAAAAAAACCTCTGTTCCTTTACAGAAATGTTGTAAGAAAGTGAAACTATTACCTTATAGTAAAACACTTGAAAAATAAATTTTCCATATAATCTTTCTCTTAGTAAGAAATACTATTCTGTGACATTTGGAAAAATAATCTGCCCTCTTCTCCTCTACTGATGGGCAGATCTGGTTATTAGAACATTTCTTCTTTCTGTAGAGTTGAAATGTGCAATTTTTTATTCATTGATTTAGCTCTGTTCTTTATCAACACAAAGAATAAATTTAATTCTTCACTCAAAAATTGAATTGTCTGCCTCAAAGATACACAAAAACTGAAAGCCCAATTAAAAAGAGGAATGTCAAAACTCACTTTATAAATTTAAATTCCAGTTAGTTAACACAGTGTACTGTTAGTGTCAGGTGTACAATAGTGTGATTCAGCACTTCCAAGCAACACCCGGTGCTCTCGCAACAATTGCCCTCCTTCATCCCCATCACCTCTTTCACCCATCCCCCCACCCACCTCCTTTTAATCAAACAAATGCAAATTAAAATCACAGCAAAGTATTATTGTTAGATTATGTTTAACATCTATTAGAACATTCACAAATTTAAATAATAGTAATGATACCCAAAGTTTGTGAGAGTTTGATAAATCTAGTTTGTGCTTTGGCCGTTCATGGAATAAATTAGTAAAAATGTTCTGGAACCAATTTGCCAGACACTGAAAGAATTGAAAAAATATGATCCAGTAATCTATTCCTTGAAATTTGTCACCAAAAACCCAAAAGAAGAAAAAAATTTAAATGTTCAAGGATGTCTTTGCAGCCTTAAGTATAATATCAAAAAATTAAAAACTGCCAGGGACGCCTGGGTGGCTCAGTGGATTAAGCGTCTGCCTTTGGCTCAGGTCATGATCCCAGGGTCCTGGGCTCCAGTCCCACATCAGGTTTCCAGCTCAGCAGGAAGCCTGTTTCTCCCTCTCCCACTCCCCCTGGTTGTGTTCCCTCTCTCACTGTCTCTCTCTCTCTCTCTGGCAAATTAAATAAATAAATAAATAAATAAATAAATAAATAAATAAATAATCTAAAAAAAAATTAAAAAACCACCTAAAAATTCTACCATTCTAGTGGGAATGATCCTGTGGTAGAAACGTAATCCCTTTATGCCTTCATTCAGAGAATAAACATCAACTACTTAAAATTACTACTGAAAAATCTACAGCAGCGAGGGTACCTGGGTGGCTCAGTCAGTTAAGCATCTGACTCTTGATTTCGGCTCAGATCATGACCTCAGGGTCCTGAGATTGAGCCCTGCGTGGGGCTCCGTGATGGCCATGGAGCCTGCTTAAGATTCTCTCCCTCTACCTCTGCTCCTCCCCCCACTTCCCGTGCACACACACACCCTCTCTCTCTAAAAAACAAGTAAATAAACATAAAATAAAAATCTAAAGCAGCGACACCGAAAAGGCTTACATTTACTATGATTCCAACTGTATAAAATTATTAATTTTATAAAATAAAAGATAATAAATAAAATAATATTTTATAGAACCTAATAATTAAAATTATTAGGTTCTATAAAATATGTCCAGATGAAGTACAACTGATATATTACAAAGTCATGAATTGGGATTATGAGGGATTTTTTGTGGGTTTTTTTTTTCTTCTTCTGTCATCATTGTCATATCATTTGTGCCTTTAAACAATGAAAAACTGAGGTGGGAGTGGACAAAGCAGTCGCAGTAATCAGAGAGCATGCTAAAAGTTTCTACAGAGACAAACTTCCCTGCATTAAAAAATATTTTCAAACATATAAAAATGATTCTCCCAACCATTTAAAATGGATCTTAATTTATTCTGTGCAGGCTTTAAGGGGTCAGATAGTATATTTGACACCTGGTGTCGCTCTTTTGTTAGGTTACACAGTGAATTCCGCCACTGTTTCTGGAGATGTGCTGTACATTGCTGGACAGCCACGGTACAATCATACGGGCCAAGTTGTCATCTACAGGATGGAAGATGGAGACATCAAGATTCTCCAGACACTCAGTGGAGAACAGGTAAGCTTAAAAATTATTGTTTTAATTTAATCCATGTATACTCTATGTAAATTTAAATTAACCATCAACTGTCCTAAACTCTAAAAAGAAAAAGTACTGGGGCGCCTGGGTGTCTCAGTCAGTTGAGTGTCTGCCTTCAGCTCAGGTCATGATCCCAGGGTCCTGGGATCAAGCCCCGCATCGGGCTCCCTGCTCAGCAGAGAACCTGCTTCTCCCTCTCCCTCTGCCCTCCCCTACTTGTGCTGTCTCTCTGTCAAACGAATAAATAAAATCTTTAAAAAATAATAATAATTAAAAAAAAGAAAAAGTACTGTCCTAGTCAACATCAACCCTAAACAGGGCTCCATGTTAGCTTCCTTGCAGAGATGTAAAATGCCTGCGTCTTTGGCCTCAGGAATATTTCAGTTGCATGGAAATGGAGATAAGATGGATAGACGATGTAGACACACATGTACAAATATATACATATAAGAAAAACATTCTAAAACATTAAGCCTGAAAATGCCAATGGCACAGACAGTAAATGCAGAAGATGGAAAGATTGTTTTAAGCTAGGATTGGTGCCAAAAGTCTTACCACGAGATCAGATTTGTGCTAGTTTAGAAGGAAAGACAGACCGTAGATAAGTAGAAAGAGCAGAAGAGCCAGTTAAAAAGATAACACGGACCCCAACTGTGTGAGGTTTTTGAATGGCAAACTAAAGAATTTGGATTTTCTCCTGGAAGTATTGGGAAGTTATGTAAAATCAAAAAATTCTCATTAGATGATATTGAATATTAAAAGTATTTTAAGAAATCGTACATGCAATATGCAAACATAAATATATGTAAATATTTTTTAACTGAAACATCTATGTGATTGGTTAGTATTGCATTACAATCATTTGGGCTTCACTAAATATCCCCAACTCACCACACTGCCCCTCCACCCTCCTCCCATCACCAACTACTCCACAAGGCTGGGCAGCAGCAGCCTTCCCCCCCTGCAGATGTACTCACAGCTGCCCAGTGCAGCAGAACAGCTTAGGTCAGAGGAGACAGACACATCCTTGCCTGATGTTAAAGAGAGCTGCCCTCTCTTTAACGCCCCACAGGAGCCCATATCTTTTAGAATGACACCATAAACATAGCTTTCAGGGCTCTAGCTAAGGGCGTGCAGTTGTCAGAGTCATCTTGGGAAGCCCAAACTGTGTTAGCTCCATCAGGTATTTATAGATCCCCACAGCCTAAATGCAATGTCCCAACTAGAGATTATTTTGACCAATCTCAATATTGCTTAGTAGTATAACTGAAATCCTTTCCCCCACAGATGTCCAGGGGAACAGAGTTAGAGTGAACCAAAAGTAAGAGTCTCGTGTATAAAGATTCTCATATATATAAAATAATAATACCTGGTGAAAGGGTTTTATTAGCCTTTTGCCCACATTTGTAATCAGAAAATGCTTCAGCAATCTAAAAACAGGCTAAGGTGAAGAGAGCCTAAAATGATGTATCACCAATAAAAATGGAAAAGGAAGGAATGCAGTAGACATAAATAAGGAGGAACTGACAGGATTGTAAAATGAAGTATTTTCTATGACATCTTAGGTCTGATATCACTCTACTAATTGTCTACAAGACAGGAAGTGAGAATTTTGTGAAAAATTACTCATGAAAGTTACAAATGATTTAAATTACAAATGATTTAAGAGTCGAGCCTGGGAATCTGAGAGAAAGGTGGCACCATTATTAGAATGTCAGCAACTCAAGCAGTGTAGATTTTTTTTTATGGTATTTGGTTTTACATATTTCCTGTAACAGTGAGCACAAATTCAAATGGTTGTGGGTGTCAGGAAGATAAAGTAAATAAATAAAGCTACTACACAGAAGACAGCAGGAAATGGTGGGAACCATGGGCTGGGCAGCTCATGAGCCTTCTAAACATTAAGCTCCCACTCAGCTCCAGATGGCTATTGTCATGGGGGAATGAAGACCCAAGGTTGCTAGATCTTACAGCATTTTATTTATGTTTGTAATTAATTCAACTTAAAAAAAAAAAAAACCTTTTCAACCCTTCATAACCTATGAGGAAAGGACATTTGAAAGCCAATGTCTAGCAGCTGTCTGAGTGTCTAACAATGTCTAGGAATGCAGAACTGGAGCCTTGAGCGGAAGATGGAATGAAATTTGCCATTTTCAGTAATAGAAATGTTTGGAAGGATTGGCCATCTAGAAGAGAATGGTGGAAAAGTGCAGATCTTAGCTTAGGGGAGGCCAAAATCTAGGGCATGGGAGGAGGAAAAGGAACCAGCAAAGATGAAAACAAAAGGTGGCCTCTGATATCGTGGCAGAATCAAGAGAGCAAAATTAAAATCATGGACGCCAAGACAGGAAGTTTCAATAAGACAGCTATCAAGAGCATCAAATATTAAACACAGGTCAATATTTGGGAAGGCTATTGCATTTAGGTAATGAAGTTCAAGTCTCCTGCATTTCCCTAAAATATATCCATATCTTTAAAAGAAAAAACATTGCTGCAAAGGGATGGTCCCCCTGCAATCTTTTTATATTTTTCTATCTTCTGCAAGTGCTAGGACAAGACTTAGCCATTTTGTTGAGTAAACAATCTTCTTTTTTTTTTAAAGATTTTATTTATTTATTTATTTATTTATTTATTTATTTATTTATTTGAGAGAAAGAGCATGAGTGGGGAAGGGGAGAGGGAGAGAGAGAAGCAGGCTCCCCACTGTGCAGGGCGCCCAACGCAGGGCTCCATCCCAGGACCCTGAGATCATGACCTGAGCTGAAGGCAGACACTTAACCAACCGAGCCACCCAGGCGCCCCAATCTTCTTTTTTTTTTTATTTAAATTCAATTAGCCAACTTATAGTACATCATTAGTTTCAGACGCAGTGTTCAATAATTTATCAGGTGCGTGAGCGAACAATCTTCTAAGTCTACAAGATGAAATTCCCTGCACTGGTATCCCAAGACATTCACTTCTTCCTATTGTATTTTATTTCTTATTTTTATATTACTGTGTATAAGCATATATTGAAGCCATCCCAGAATGCCTTTTATTGTTTAATCTCATTTTATGTCCTTAAAAAAAATCATGGTGGCATTACTTACATTTTCTGCTTTTTGGAGAAGAGACATTAGGATGAAATCTAAAGGAAGCCATTTCTCTTACTCTCAGGCTGCAAAATCTATGACAGGGGCTCATCCTCAAGGGTGGGTCTGCCTATTTATTAGCCCCCGACAAGAGCCAATAAAGAGCTCTCAGGTAGAATCCATTTCTATACTTTATTTCCATTCCCGTATCTATCTGAATCTCAAATACTCTTCTAGATGAGGATAAGTAAAAGAAATGCAGGCTTTTAGCTATCTTGAGAATTTCTGATGTTCATCAGACTATTTTGTTTTGTTTTGTACCCTAGATTGGTTCCTACTTTGGCAGTGTTTTAACAACAATCGACATTGATAAAGATTCTAATACCGACATTCTTCTGGTTGGGGCTCCCATGTACATGGGAACAGAGAAAGAGGAACAAGGGAAAGTATATGTGTATGCTCTTAATCAGGTAATGCTACCTCTGAGTTTGGCAGAATTTCAGGAATATCTCTTCCTTTCTTTCAATCTCAAATAAGTAATGCAGTTCCAATTTTGTACTCACTTTAGAAAAAGGAGCGAAGAATCTTTCAGGGCCTCTTTACCCGCACCAACTCCTCAGTTTCTAAATGAACATTTTAGAATTCTAATAAGGTAGTTCAAACCATTAGATGTTTTCTGCTTGGAAATGTGAACTATTCTTTTTTAGCAGAAAATATAGAATAAAGATAAATATAAATCTCATTAAACTGCTAAATAAACTCACAGGGCAGCCATTCATGGCTCTGGCCTGGAGGTGTTGGAAACATTAGCAGTTAAAACTGCATTCGCTGTCAAAACAGTTAAAGCTAGGGAAGCAGAGAGACTGTGGAGTAGTGAATTTTAAGGCAGTGACACCAGTTTCGGCAAACTAGTATGGTCTTTGGAATACCTCACTGGGCTGGAGTGAGATTTTGTTTGCCGCTCCTGACTTTAGACATCATTTGTTAGGTGAAATAATTCTCGATTTCTTCATTAGAAGAGTTTTTTTGTTTTGTTTTGTTTTGCTGTTTATGGAAAAGTCCAGTATTCATCTATTTAGCTTTTTAAATTCTTAGTCTCTCCAATTAATTTTTTAATTCATAAATTGTATATCTTTCTTCCTATCATTTTGTTTGCTTCCTCCATCAATTTTTTTTGGGGGGTCCTGTGCTTTTTTTCCCCTTTTTTCCTAGAACGTGTGTTCCTGTCCATCATTACTAGTACTTTCTTTACTGAGTTTTTCAGGGTTTTTGTTTTTTTGTTTTTTTGTTTTTTGCTTTAGATAGCTTTGGGAAAAGTTTGCTTTTTGAACAGTGTAATTTTCTCCTTGCCCTATAGAGGAGACTACAGAGACTTTTCAAAGAAGCAAATTTGGATGAAGGAAGGATAAAGGCCTGAATTGAGGATTTAAAAATTCAGTTCTTTGGCTTTAAAAACATTCTGTGAGTTATATACTCACTAGTTTGCATTAAAAAGAGAATCCATTAAAATCCTCAATATGCCTTCTTCCCTACACTTCTACAATCTGTTCTTTAAAATCTTTACGTGGTTCTCAGATAAGCACCCTTTTTAAGAAATTTTATAAACTTTACCGTTGATGTACAAATGGTTTTTAACAGCGCTGATTTAGCATGTACTTAAAAATTTCACTATGCTGTAGTAATGATAGAAATCCGTAAGTATCCTGTTTATCGTTCTTCCAGACAAGGTTTGAATATCAAATGAGCCTGGAGCCCATTAAGCAGACTTGCTGCTCATCTCTGAAGCACAACTCATGCACAAAGGAAAACAAAAACGAGCCATGCGGGGCTCGTTTCGGAACAGCTATCGCTGCTGTGAGAGACCTCAATCTTGATGGATTTGATGACATCGTGATAGGAGCTCCCCTGGAAGATGATCATGGGGGAGCCGTGTATATTTATCATGGGAGTGGCAAGACTATAAGGAAAGAGTACGCACAAGTAAGAAGTTAAACCTACACATTCCCACCCTTAAACGATAAGTGGGTTCAATGCTAGGCTTGCTTCTTGTCTTGCTTCATGAGTTACTTGATTTTTTTTTTCTTCTTCTGACTCTATTGGGAAACTAGATTTACTTCTCTTTTCTTTACAGAAGCATTATTTTGTATTTTATCCGTTTATCTAGGTTTTTTTTTCCCTTTTTTTTTTGCCATGTCTCCGTGATTTGGGCTCTTGGAATAGTAAAACACAAACAAAAAAAAAAAAAAAAAGAACACTTTTTAACGATGTGATTTAACAGTTGCAGTGTGCCTGATCCTAAACAGAGGATACCACTTTCTGAATAAGAGAACAATAATGATATAATTTAGCCAATAAAGATGAGATTATTGTTTTTATATTCAATATCCGTGTTGTTATAATGAAATTGCATTACATTTATATTTATAACTTAAATTGGTATTTTTTTGTCAAATGAATTTGGGTTCCTGAAGATTTACAATTTCCTCACAAGTAATCCCTCTTGGAAAAAAATCTAAATAATTAAGCTTAACCTGCAGGGATTTCTGTTGTTCTTGTTTTAAATTTATTGTCAGTTAATGGTTCTAATCCATAAATGTAATTTTTTCTATATAAGAAAAATATCAATTTGCAGAAGTATTTAATGCACTATAAAAGTAGGAGAGTTTAAAGGGATTCTTCTAATGTAATTGTCTGTTTTAAGTAACCATAAGTAGTTAGGCATTGAACTACTTATATAACATGAAAAGAAAATCAGAACATCAATTATTTCTTTTTATAGTTGTTCTTTTTGTACTACAGTCAACAAAATTCTCAAAATCCATTCATGTGAAGTTGTGCTTAATTTTTTGTAAAGTGATAATGACATTAGTGAAACAATAAAGTAAAGGGTGTATTTCAGTAACAACACTACCATCCACTTAGTAAATTATTTGTTTTCAAATAATTCAAAAGTCTTCATGGTATTACTTAACTGAAAACAGGCAGTATTAACCATGGGGGCACGATGGAATGAGGAGCTGCAGGAAGGCATTTCTTTCTTGTGTTCTACCACTTTATTCCTTCACTCTTAATCCTGAAAACTTAGTGAAATGACATTTGCAGTAGAAAAAAAAGAGGATATTTAAATCATTAATAATAGGATAGATTGTCATAAGAAATTTATTTTGTAAAATGGTGGTAACTCAAGATGCAGCTTTAAATAACAAGAAAAAAGAATAGTAGAGTTGAGTTTGCTTAATTATTGGCAAAATGCTTTCCCAGGGATAGGTGAGGATGTGCTCACTTGTTTCCATGGTAACCAGAGGTGTATGTGTTTGTGTATGTGATAATCCAGAATCAAACTGAGTGAACTCCTCCAGAACCAATGAGGCAGATGTCTCGGGTTTCTTTCCTGAAAAAATAAGGAAATACTTCCCAATGAGCCACAAACATTTCAGCATGCAGAATGTTTCCATTTGGTTTGCCTTTTTTGGCTTCTTAATTTATGGTTTTTAAGAAGACCTCAAGTTTAGGGAGGGTCTGTCCGTCCTGTCTCCTTGCCATCAGGTTCTATTAAAATGTTATCAGCTTGAACCAAAGCTAAATCAGGAAGTATGAATATTAAACACATTATGTGTGGGTATGTGCACAAATCAGCCTTGAGAACTCCACATTCATTTGTACCTATTGAGTTTATAGTGCCCTTGACTTTTAGCAAAGAAGATCATACACTGGAAAATGTATCTGATGGAATGTGCTATTTATATCCATCCCCCAAATTTCGTGAACCCCAAACTGACCCCTAGGACAAACTTCTACTTCCTCTCTTGCTTGTATGATGTGTTTTCAAGGTTCCAGTATCTTTAAATATCTCTGTGTTATGGGATTGAGTGGGAACTAGAACGGAGAGCCAATTACTCACAATGTTTTCTTTGAGCATTAGAAAAATGACGTTATAAAATTTTTTTCCCTCTCTCTGGTGTCAGCAACCCTGGATTATTTTGTCTGTACTATAAAAAGAATAACCTTTGGTAACATCTGAGTAATTCAACTTGTCTCCACATGAGGGGCTTCTTAGGCAGGTTTCCAAAAGATCTGCAATTTTTATTTTTTGTTAACCAATCCAAGTTCTCAGATTTATTTAAAACTGTTTTTGAAGAGACACTCTGGCATAAAAACTCTCTGTTGGGACTTTTACAGCGTATTCCATCAGGTGGAGATGGCAAGACACTAAAATTTTTTGGCCAGTCTATCCATGGAGAAATGGATTTAAATGGTGACGGTCTGACTGATGTGACTATTGGGGGCCTTGGTGGTGCTGCCCTCTTCTGGTATGTATTTTAATAACATCCAATTCATCCGATGATACTGTACAAATAGTTCCAGAGCTCAGAGTATGATTGGAGCTCGTGTCATACCAAATATCTGTTTTCTTTTGTACCCCATTATTTAGATAAAAGCTATTTAGTTAAAGAACCTGGGGGAGTCAATAAATCTTAAAAATAGAGAAACCATATTAAAGGAACAAGTAAAACCAACTCTTAATTTGGGGTACTTATTATGTGCTTGCCACTAAGGTAGGTATTCTGTTTTAGGGGGCAGCATAGGAAAGAAGAGGGCCTCATAGAGAATTATATAAACAAGAAAATATGCTTAACTTTGAGTTGTTCACAAACTTTTCGGGGTAATTGACTCTTCATTCATTTACCTAATATGTATAATTAGACAATTGTGCATCATTGTCTGTTTATATTATATTTCTATTATATATATTATATATATATATTATATTTATACCATACCATACATAGATGGTAACTGCACATATTGTGGTGAGCATAGCATAATGAATACAATTATTGAATCACTATGTTACGCACCTGAAACTAATATGATATTGTATGTCAACTATACTTCAACTTAAAAATTTGAAGAAAAAATTTAAAAATTAAAAACAGAGATAATGTCTAAGAACTTATGGCCAAATAAAAATTGTACACTAAACTGTACACAGATAATAACCATTATGTTAAAAAATGGTTTAACTGTACAGTAGGCAGAAAAGAAATTGTAAGGTGGTGCCTAGGAAAGGAGAATGCTGGGTAGCAAGTAGCTGTGACTTGGGCAAGGGTTCACCCAGAAGCAGGACTCCAACCCAGAAGTCGCCAGTATCAGCAACAAAGGGTACAGTTAGTCTCTGTTTAAACAGTTAATCCTGGATCAATTTATTTTGATAACCTTAACTCAAAAAGTATTTAGTGTATTCACTCTCATATTAAAAGTACATACATTATAAGGGCAATTTTTACTCTCCAGTTTTGTTTCAAAGGTTTCTTACAAAGCTCTGAAGACTTATTTTTATGGCCTCTTTTACTCCCAGTCAGTGCTTTATCGTTGATGGGCCAAAATGACAGAGTTGGACCCCTATCATTGCCCAGCAGAATGGACCAGACCAACAGACTGGGACACGAGGACCAAGATTTACAATGCTGAAGGAGGGATTTAGAGTGGATATAGGTGGCAGGCAATAAACAGAAGTCCGTCCCAATCAGGGACTTCCAGGAGCAAATATTGAACGCCCCATCATGTGGAATAAATTGCGCTATAACCCCTTTAAAGACCTTGTTGGGGCAGATGGGTGTGCGGTGGGAAGTGGTCAAGGCAGCCTCATTCCTGAAGGATCCAAACTACTAAGCAGGGAACTAGACATACTCGTTCATTACTGGTGAAAGAGTAAACTGGTTAAAACACATTAGAAGGTATTTGCATACAGTATTTTAACAATAACTGTTAAAAAGCCTCAAGAATATTCATACTTTTTAACAAGGAATTTGCTTCCTAAAAATTTTTAAAGATTTAATCTACACCTAAGATATATAATCTTTAGAGTGATCACAGCACTGGGCTAGTAACTATTTAAAAAAAAACACATTAAGACAAATGTCCAATAAGAAAGGACTGAGTAAATGGATTACAATACATGCATATGTTGGAATAGTATATTGTCATTAAAAATAATGTTTCCAGAAAAATACAAATATTGGAAATCTGTTCATTATATTATGTTTTAAAAGTATGTATGGATGTATAGGCATGTGTGTGTATGTCTCCCTGTATATATATATATACACAGACACATCTATATGCATAGATATATATTCTTCAAAGAAAAAAAAGCATATCCAATATTAATGGTGATTATTGCTGAGTGGTAGAATTACAAGTGATTTCTGTTTTCTTTGTTTCCTTTTTTATGTTTTCATGTTTTCTAGGGGTAAGATGTTTCAAAAGAAAAATATAGTTTTTTTAATGCAAAAGCAAATCAAAGACCTATGTATTCACAAGATAACTAGCTATAGAACTTGTACTTGTCTGTACAAGTATTATAGTGCATACAAGTTGTCCATGGGCCTTTGGACTCTTTCCAGATTGAGAACAAATTCAAAGATTCCCAAAATATGGTTTTGGTTCTGAGGTTGCACCTGAGCACTTGATTCCATCTTCCTTCCTTCACAAGCAAACAGATTTTTGCCTTGTGAACTGTAAGGAATGAAAAATAATCTTCCTTCTAGCCTTCTGAGTTCTTGGCTGATACCCTTGTAATAAAAGATTAACAAGAGAAAAACAAATAGAAGTTTATTAACATGTATGCCCCATGTATACGTGGGAGATACCCAGAGAAAAATGAGTAATTCTTTGAGGTGGCTTAGAATTTAGACTTAAATACCATCTTAATAGAGAAAAGGAAGAAGGTATGTAGGCCTCTATAAGGAGAGTAAATACTTTTTAAGGAAGTTAAATGGACCTAGGAAAGACCAGATGGGTGATATGATAGTTTGTGACAAAGCTCATCTCCTCTGGTGTCTCCTGTCCTGTGATAGGAGTCAATCCTTCCTGGTCGATGAACTCCAGTGAAGTTCCTTTTGGAGTGTCTGTCTTTGGGTACAAGGAGAGTTTGCAGAAGCCTCTTCCTGCATTTGCTGTTTGTCAAGTGCCTACAGCTCAAAATAATCCATATACCAAAGTGATATGTTTTGGAGTGACATGGCCTGAGCTCCTATAGTCACATTTTGAGGTAGTATATTCTGCTACCACTCAGAACCACAGCCTAAGATAGTCCCAAAACAACCTGGGTGTCCTCAGAACATCAGATACCATCACTTCTGTGAATCAAAAATTCACCAAAGAGGGACGCCTGGGTGGCTCAGTAGGTTAAGCACCCGACTTTTGGTTTCGGCTCAGGTCACAGCCTCAGGACCCTGGGATCAAGCTCAGCGCAGAGTTAGCTTGAGGTTCTCCCTCTCTCCCTATCCCCTGCTCACACATGCTCTCTCTCTCTCCCTCAAGTAAATAAATAGGGGTACCTGGGTGGCTCAGTAGGTTAAGCATCTGCCTTTGGCTCAGGTCATGATCTCAGAGTCCTGGGATCAAGCCCCGAGGCAGGCTCCCTGCTCAGTAGGGAATCTGCTTTTCCCTCTCCCTCTGCCTCTCTCCTCTGCTCATGTACAAGCTCTCTTGCTCTCTCTCTCTCTCTCAGATAAATAAAATCTTTAAAAATAATAAAAAATAAAATTAAATAAGCACTTTTTAAATCACCAAAGAAATGGAATCCTGAGAGCCCAACTATACACAAAGAAGTATCCCCATCAGTGCATTCACATTGCACTCCCATAATGATGGCATTCATTAAATGTGAAAATGTGTGAATAATCATCATTATTTATGTTTGTAGGTCGCGAGATGTGGCTGTCGTTAAAGTGACCATGAATTTTGACCCCAATAAAGTGAATATCCAAAAGAAAAACTGCCATGTGGAAGGAAAGGAAACAGTATGCATAAATGCTACAGTGTGTTTTGATGTGAAATTAAAGTCCAAAGAAGACACAATTTTTGTAGCTGGTAAGTGTCATACGTATACCAAGTACTTTAGGGCAGCAGGACAATACATTTGGTCCCGCATGATGAAATCCAGTAAGATATTGTATTTTACCCCATGATAGGGATCTGCTTATCACATTTGCCCCTGTGAACATGTTGAACCTTGAAAAAAAAATCTACTGAAGAAAGACTATGTTATGGAACCCAATAAAATCTGGAGCAGAAACTATATGCTTATATGCAATGGTCTCCACAGTCCATAGTTCCCCTCTGGCTCTCCCATTTACCACAAACAACCAGGTGCTAAAAACAATAATAATAATACCATTTCAGAAGTAGAGTTTAGAGATTGGACCAGGAGCCCAGTTTTCCTTCTTGTGGGTTTTCACAACCCCTCTGTTCCTTCTCCTGCTCTCTCTTTGGTAAGACTGGTATTACAAAGTGCTTGAATGCTTTGCCACCCCCACTTCCTGAGATCTCTTTGCTCCGCTTAGAAGGTGACCTGGTTTTTGAGAATCAGACATGTTCCATGTGTGTGTTCTCGGGCACAGTCTAGGTATGTCTTCCTCCCTACACATACACTTCCTAAGGTGGCTTTTTAATGATATTGAAATATGTTGGAGTCAAAACTGTGGAGGCCATAGGCTGCAAAAGAGTAGTTTACTCTATAAACCAAATGTAAGTAGAATATGAAAAATCATTAATCCTTAAAAGCTATTTTTCATAATTATGCTCTGCAATAGCCCTCTGACTAGAAGATAAATGAGGTAAAAATGTAAAATATGATTTACATTTTCATATACAACATTGTTTCAGTCTCATTTAATTTTTATAGAGTAACTAAGCAATCAAATAAGTAGGATTGTTGCCTTTTTAGAAAGTATAAGTTTAACTTGTTTTTTATTTTGGTACGACTATTTTATTAAACTTACTTATTAAGCTTCTTTCATTATGTGCTTTGAACAGTCTGAAGTGACTTTTTCATAAAATTGATAAGAGTTCATTAGTGTATATTTTTTTTATCTATTGAAATAAAATCAGGGGCACCTGGGTGGCTCAGTTGTTAAGCATCTGCCTTCGGCTCAGGTCATGATCCCAGGGTCCCGGGATTGAGCCCCTCATCGGGCTCCCTGCTCAGCGGGAAGCCTTCTTCTCCCTCTCCCACTCCCCCTGCTTGTGTTCCCTCTCTCGCTGTGTCTCTCTCTGTCAAAGAGATGGATAAAATCTTTAAAAAATAATAATAATAAAATCAATATTCTAAACAGGGCTTCAACATTGCTAAACTAAAAAAAATAATTTAAGTGAAAACCCAATAAACACATGCATGGTCAGAAAATTAGTTTATATGTTGGTGTACATGTGTATGAGTGTGTGGGTGTGCATATGTACATATACATTATAAAATAAGTGTGATTAAACATCAAAGGCATAGTGAACTCAGAGAGTGGTTCTGTAGAGTTCTTGAAGGTTATCTTCATGACTAAGACTACCATTGTACTACAGTAGTGTGGATAAGCTGAGGTAATAGAAATTTTTTGTTGACTGATTGCTCAAGAGATTTTTCTATAATGTTAATTTAATGAACTAGACCATATAAAAATTACCTCAAGTAAATATTTTTGTCATTTTGTTTCCAGATATGCAGTACCGTGTCACACTAGATTCACTAAGACAGATATCACGAAGTTTTTTCTCTGGAACTCAAGAAAGAAAGATTCAAAGAAACATCACAGTTGAAGAATCAGAATGCACTAAGCTCTCCTTCTACATGTTGGCAAGTAAATCATATGTTATAGCTGCTTTATTCCAAATCAAGAATAAAGCATAGATGTCTTATTTCAAGTCAATCTTATGGATTTCATTTCAAAGTGCACATGATGAAGTAAACTTCATTTTATTTGGTCACTTTTATCAGAAAATCACAGGTCTGGTTTTCAAATTTCCAAGTGCATTTCATAAAACTATCTTTCCTCTTCCCTGTGTGTGTTATCAGTCATCTTTATATTATGGAATTGTAGAAGGCACAGTGCACTAGTTGATAAGAAACCTTCTGCCTTCATTCATTCATTCATTCATTCATTCATTTTTTATATTCATTCATTTATTCTTTCAAACTGAAAGCATCATTTAACTTTTGTGGGCCTCATCTGTCACATGTGGATAAGTGATTACATGCCCTGAGGAGAAATGTTGGGCCATAGGCTTTCTGGGGTCTCTTCTTGTCCACAGAACTATGTATTTCACTTTTTGACTTTAAATTAAAGGGAAAAAAATCTGGCATTTTCTGTTATCCATAGACTTTGTGCTACCTAAGTTTCTTTCTGTTACAGTAATAAGGAAGCCTTGGAAAGCAAATTATTAATCTCTGTAGATGGCTAGGAAGCCAGTTTGAACCATTTAAAATGCATTTTATTTAGTCACTATGTAAATGTGAAATGTTCCTAATAAGGGCAGGAGTTTCTTAACATTTTCTTATAAGGTACATGATACTTAAAGAAAAAAAAAGAGGGAAGAATGGATGTAATGAGAAAACACAGATTTTAGTGACTGAGACAGACTTGGGACTTATACATGATCCTGGAATTTTAAAGGAAAACAGGCCAATTTCCCCCCACCTCTGATTTATTTCTGTATTCTTGATGTATTCATACTCTATATTTTTAAAATATTATAGTCAGGGTAGGGAAGTGACAGAAAACATGCCTGTTGATGTACTGTAATTTTCTTCAGTGATTTTCAAGTCAATATTCCCCACAGAATATATATCAAAATTAACTTATCTGTCAACACTAAGATCAATCTATAATCAGAAAAAAAAAACCGGAGTTATCCCCCCATTTACTTCATCAGAACTGAACATTTAGGAGTTAGAACTTGTATAAAATTTGAAAGGGCGTGAAACTAGATGTGCCCCTGCCTTCAACCTGCTAGAAATCACTGTAGTGTATATTTGTCCAAAATGTAGAATCTAGCTATGTGTAGGCACTTGGTATTAAAAGGAATGAACTAGTTTCAAAATTTCTAAAATTCTTTAAGTTTTAATAGATACATTAACATTTGTTCTGGAGTCAGCCACGATGGAATTTGTCTCAAAGGCTTCTCTACATTCCAAATGATTTTGACCAAGTTGTTTAGTCTCTTAGAGGCCCAGTTTTTCATTTGTAAAATAATGACTATAATAGTTATTGATTTTGGAGGACTGTTGAAATACTTCTCAATAATGTGTGTAAAGCTCATAATTCCGGACATGCCATAAATGATGGCTGTTACTAATGATAGTATAAAACGATATTGGTTGCATTCCTATTACTTACATATCATTTTACATTATAAAATTCTTGCAACTTGAGGCATATATTATACTAACGAAATTCAATTCAATTTAAAGAAAGTTTGCTCATTTGAACTTGAGAGACTCTCCTAGAAGTATTACATGGCAGTTTTTAGCTCAAGATCTCAAGAGAAAAGATATTCTTCTACAAGCAGCCCAGAGTAGTATATCTTGACGTGGCAAAGTATGGCACATCCTATTACTCCAGCAGGGCCCCCGAGAAGCTGGCGGTGGATCAACTGGTCATATTCTGAAGACTCTGCATTCAGCAGTGTCCCTTATCAAGGCAGAAGGCAGTCTCTCTCCACAGAAGCAAAAGCCTGATGAGATCATATGTCAGATCAGGTGCACAAGAATGTTCCATCAAGCATAACCCACAGGGGCAGAAGAAGGAAGCCATAAGAAGGTCAGAACATTCAGCAAATGTGATACCAATGATAAAATATATTATGCTTCAACCTGTAGGACAAGCATGACTTTCGGGACTCTGTAAGGATAACTTTGGATTTTAATCTTACCGATCCAGAAAATGGGCCTGTTCTTGATGATTCCCTACCAAATTCAGTACATGAATATGTAAGTCATATTTTTTAAAATTCAGAATGCCTATATGTGAACATATTGAGGGGAAAATACCTGAAACATATAAACACACATACACAAACCTACGTCAATTTTTTAAAAAAAGAATGAGACTCTTCTAGACTTTTCTCAACTCTTCTATTTCCCATTGTTGGAGGGAACTTACAAATAGCACCTCTTTTAATCTCTGCTAAATTTAGGACCAGTTGAAAGAACGACATGGTTTAACTTCCTGGAACTCACTTTATTACTAATGAGCACTGGGTTGCATACATGGCTTGGGCATATTGGGTGTCCTCCTACTGAACAAGGTTTAGACCACAAATAACCAAGTGCGTCATCAGAGTGCTCATTAATCTCAGGCCTCATTCAAGGGGGGCCCACCTCATAAAACTTGCAGAATGGAAATATAGAGCAAGAATGTATGCTTCCCATGGGCACACCACTGCCCCAAGAGCAGAAGAGGTGGGAAGGGACTGAGCTGTGTTCACCCTGCTCCTGCTTCCAAATTCACAAAGTCCAATGTCTCACCCCTGAGAAAGAGTGAGTGAGCAAGTAGAAAGATGGGGTGGCACCAATGGAGGAAGCATTAGGGATGGGGAATTAGTTTTCCCCATACCCATATCTTTCACTTTCACTTTCACTTTCTTCCTTTCAAGTATATTTATTGGGTAGCTTATCCATACCAGGCTTCAGAGTTTAGTCTAACCTAAGAAACAGGTATTAGGTAGGAATTAAAGCATGTGCTCTGGAGAACTTAATTGTTTTATGGGAACTTCTGCCTACATAGAAAGTCAGGGCGCACACCCCTGAAGTTGTGACATTTAAATTGAGACCTGAAGCAAAAAAGATTTTCCATCCTATTCACAGGAGTGGAGGGAGCTGTGTTTCGTGCACAGAGATATGTGTAAAAGTTCTGAGGCATAAAGGAACTACACTAAACTCTCTAATGTGGCCGAAGCTGAAGAGCAAGGGGGGAAGGTGATAGGGATGAGGAGGGGGGCATAGGCAGGAACCAGATCATTCTGGACTTTGTGCTACTGCACAGATATCTTGAAGAGCAAAGGGAATGCTATTGATGGTTTCAGTTGGTTCAGTGATAGTACTGGATTTATGTATTTTTGAGGATTACTCCAGCTGCAATGTAGAGAATGATTAGGGGAACAGTGATTGGAACAAGAATGGGTGCAGGAGAACACTTAGGAAGCTGTTGCATTAGTTCAGGGAGGAAATAAGGATGGCTAGACTAGAGGTGAAGGTGGAAATGGAGAGTTTGGAGATACTTAGAAGGGAGGTAGAATGGACAGATCTTAGCGAAGGTTTAGATAAAAGGGTGAGGCTTAATGGGAAGACCAGTCAAGGAAAGCTCCTAGTTATGTGGCTTGACCATTTTCTACCTCTGAGCTCTATTACATTCCTAAGTATTTGATTCTTTTCAATAGAAAATCTCATAATTGGGGTTGAGTGTTAAAGTGTTCTCTCATAGATTTAGATCTTAGAGTACTTGACTTGATTTTTCTGAAACGCTCCTACTTTGGCAGACTAAAAGTGAAAAACATCTGTGAAAAATTGTGCATTCTTTAAAGGACTGGAAGAATTTATATTCAGGGAGTTTATTATTTTTCCCTATAAATTGTAGGAATAAATCTAAAATTCCCTATGATTTCTGCAGTGGAATCTGTTCTTTTTATGAGTTGGTTAACTTAGTTTGGCAATATATCATTTCACTAAGCGGGTTAATAAGTAATTTTCAGTCATGCTTAACTAAATGTTGAAAAACACTTTCCTGTGACCATTTCAGATTCCCTTCGCCAAAGATTGTGGAAACAAGGAAAAATGTATCTCGGACCTCGCCCTGAAAGTATCCACCACAGAAAAGGGCCTGCTTATTGTCAGGTCCCACAACGATAAGTTCAATGTTAGTCTCACAGTCAAAAATAAGAAGGACAGTGCCTATAACACCAGAACCATAGTGCACTATTCTCCAAATCTAATTTTTTCAGGAATTGAGGTAAACTTTTAGTTTTATATTTGTTTATTCTTGTAATAATAATTTATTGAGCCTACTTTTTCTGCTACTGAACTAATTGTTTTTATTGGGTTTAGAAGAATAGAGAGCATTTTGTACAAATTATTAGTACTCACTCATGGTGAAAGTACCAAACTTTTTTTAAAAGTTTTGTTTTGATGAATGTCTTTAGAGATCTATGACTTTTCTTAGATTCAGTATGAGGAAAGTATCACTGATGTGTCAAAATCATACCTTTCATAGAGGCATTACATAGCTGAAATTGAGACAAAGTCAAAGAAAAGTATAAACATAACAAAGTCAAGAAAGTTAAACAGAGGTGCAGTAATGCATGTATGGAACAAAAAAATGCTTACATAAAGAAAAATCAAGATACTATTTCTCATTTTCTATGTAAAATCCTTACACTGGCAAGAGAGGTGTTAAATTACAATGTCTTAGTGTCATTACAGAATTTTTTTTTATCTTGGCAATAACATAGCTGAATAAGATGCTATGTCAGGAATAATTTGTACTTCCACATTTGAACTTTGCTTTTAATTCTGATCTCGGAATGAATCCCCCTTAGTTACAATTCTATCTATATAGATATGAATTAGCAATATGTATGATTCATATTAAAAGCAATACCCTTATTAATTATAATATTAAAACTCTATTGTCTAGTTTCTGTAAATTCAGACTTTCACTGATATTTCTCTCTATTTATTAGGATATCACTTAAAAACATGATGACTAACAGAGGCTTAAAAAAGTCCTCCATTACTACCACATATTTTAGATTCAGTAAAGAATGTTAATTATAAATCCAAATGTGCAGAGTGATGTTGGAAAAATATTACCACTGAATTTTTCTCTGGAAAGGGGACTATATTAAAAATCATTGCCAGTATCCTCAACTAACTTCATGGCCTTGGTAGAGAGGGAGAACTATAAAAATCAATAATGCATCTCCTCTACTTCTATTAATGATAAAAACAGTAATAATAATGACAGTCTTTTCCTGAGTCACATTATGTTCCAGGCACTGTTCTAAGCATTCCACTTATTCAATTGTCATTAAGTAAATAGGTATTATTGTACTACAGAGATTCTAAGATAAACCCTTTCTGTCACATTTTAACTTTGCTGTAACTGCATTTTACAGTTGATGTGTTTACTTAACTGGCAGCATTTTCCCCCTCTTATTGGTATGCAAAATAATGGTGAATGGCATTATTATTATTATCTCCTATTCAGTGGCATTTTCAATTTGATGAAATAGAGTATGACTAACCTCACTTGAAAGAAAATCAGGCTCAGAGAAGTGAGGAGTCTTGACAAGGAGAAAGCTAAGAGTGATGGAGTCAGAATTTAACTCCTGGTGGTCTCAGGTCAGAACCCATGCTCTTACCACTGAGTGAAACTCTTCTCATGACAACCACTCACTGTGGGCTTCCATAGGGCAGTCGAGGACGTGTGGATTATTTCGTCCAGCCACCTAATCACCCTGTGCGGCACATGCTGTTAGTATGTCCGTTGTGCTGTGGGACACCTAGACAAGATATGCGATGTGCTTTGTCCTTCAGTCTCCCGTAAATAATGTTTTCAGATTTTCCATGGTTGGTGACACAGGTGATCTCAGAATGCTGTGACTATCCCAACTAAATTGAGAGACAAATCTTAACAAGGCAGAGTCCAAGGCACAACTGGGAAAATTCTGGAAAACCAAGCTCAAGTATTTCACCTGTGTGTCTGCTCTAATTCTGTTTACTTTTTCTTCCAAGGCTATCCAAAAAGACAGTTGTGAATCCAATCATAATCTCACATGTAAAGTTGGATATCCTTTCCTGAGAAGAGGAGAAGAGGTAAGCAGATTCTAAAACATACATGTGGCAATTGGATATGAAAAATATTATGCTCAAAGTTAAATATATAAGTCCCTCTAGTGGTATTTTAGGGTGATGTAGATGAAGAAGATTGAGTTCAAAATTTTGAGATATTGGAATCAAAAGCCAATTATTGCATGAGTCAAACTCAAACGTTAAGACAAAATTAAAAATTTATACTTGATAATTTATCTTATAGTAGTAGGATTTTCTGACCTGTACACCACAACAGATCTTTCACGCAGATTCGTTTAGAACTTTGTATAGAAACTCTTTTTTCATTTCTCTGTCTCTTTTTAATAATATCCTCATTGAGATATAATCTACATACCATAAAATTCACTTATTTAAACTGTACAATTCAATGGGTTTTTGTTTATTCACCAAATAGTGAATTGTGCAGCCATCACCTCAATCAGTCTTAGATCATTTTCACATCCCCAAAAGAAAGTCTGTACACATTACCAGTTACTTCTCTTTTTTCTCCTCCAGTCCCTCCCCCAACCTCAGGCAATCTACTTTCTTTCTTTATGGATCTATCTATTCTGGGCATTTCATATAAATGAAATCATACAGTCTGTGGGCTTTTACAACTGATTTTTTTCACTTAGCATAATGTTTTCAAGGTTCATCCATGTATCAGTAGTTCCTTTTTATTTCCAAATAAATTCCACTTTGTGGTTGTATCATATTTTATTTATTCATCTATCAGGTGATGGGCATTTGTGTTGTTTTTCCACTTTTTGGTCACTATGAATATCTGTGTGCAGGTTTTGGTGTGGGCATGTTTTCCATTCTCTTAGGGTGGAATTCCTGGGTTATATGATAACTATGTGTAACATGTTGGGAAACCGAGAAACTGTTTTCCAAAGTGACTGCACCATTTTTCATTCCTACCATAAGCAATGTATATCTTTCTTCACATTGTTACTGCCTTTTTTTTATTATAACCATCCCAGTGGGTATGAAATAGTATCTCATTGTGACTTTGATTTGCATTTCCTTAATGGCTAATGATGTTGAGCATCTTTTCATGTGCTTACTGACCATGTGTATATCTTCTTTGGAGAAATGTCTATTCAGATCCTTTACCTATTTTTTAATTGGGATGTCTTTTTTTATTATTGAGTTGTGAGAGCTCTTCATATATTTTGCTTTCAAGTCACTGTTCAGATATATGATTTGCAAATATTTTCTCCCATTCTGTCTTTTCACTTTCTTGATGGTGTCCTTTGAAACATGAAAGTGTTTACTTTGATGAAGTCTAATTAATCTATTTATTCTTTTGTCACTCATGCTTTGCTAACCCAAGATCACAAAGATTCACTCCTATGTTTTCTTCCCAGAGCTTTATAATTTTAGCTGTTACCTTTAGGTCTGTGATCCATTTTGATGAACTTTTGTGTATTGTGTAAGAAGGAGAAGGTCCAATTCTTTGTCCATGGATGTCCACTTGCCCCACACCACCTGTTGAAAAGGTTATTCATTCCCCCATTGAATTGTCTTGGCATTTTATTGAAAGTCAGTTGACCATAAACATATGGGTTTATTTCTTGATTCTTAATTGTACTCCATTGATCTATATGTCTGTCTTTATGTTGGTACACTGTTTTGATTACTGAACTTTTCTGTAAATTTTGCAATCTGAAAATGTAAGTCTTTCAGCTATGTTTTCTTTTTCAAAATTGTTTAGCTCTTCCAGGTCCCCTGTATTTTCACTTGTACCTTGGGATCAGCTTGTCATTTTCTACTAAAAAAGCCAGCTGGGAGTTTGATAGGGATTATATTGAATCTGCAGATCAATTTGGGGATTATTACCATCTTAAAGATATTAAGTCTTTGATCTGTGACCATGGGATGTCTTTCTGTTTATTTAGATCTTCTTTAATTATTTTCAAAAATGTTTTGTATTCGGCCGCCTGGGTGGCTCATTTGGTTAAGCGACTGCCTTCGGCTCAGGTCATGATCCTGGAGTCCAGGGATCGAGTCCCACATCAGGCTCCCTGCTCAGCAGGGAGTCTGCTTCTCCCTCTGACCCTCTTCCCTCTCGTGCTCTCTGTCTCTCATTCTCTGTCTCTCAAATAAATAAATAAAATCTTTAAAAAAAATGTTTTGTGTTCTACAGAATACAAGTTTTACACTTCCTTTGTTAAATGTATTCCTAAGCATTTATTCTTTTTTAATGCTATTCTTTTTTAAAGTGAGAGAGAGAGTCGGGGGCAGATGGAGAAGGAGAGAAAGAATCTTAGGCAGGCTCCACACTCAGATGTGGGGCTCGATCTCTGGCACGAGATCATGACCTGAACTGAAATCATGAGTCAGATGCTTAACCAACTGAGCCACCCAGGTGCCCCTTTTAATGCTAATTTAAATGAAATTCTTTTCTTAAATTTATCTTCAGATTGTTTATTGCTAAAAATTAGAAATACAAATGATTTTTGAATATTGATCTTTTATCCTGAAACCTTGTTGAAATTATTTATTAGTTCTAATAGTTCCTTAGAGGATTCCTTAGGATATTCTATATACAAGATCATGTCATCTGCAAGTAGAGGCATCCTTCCCAAGCCAATGCCTTTTATTTCTTTTTCTTGCCTAAATGCCCTAGCTGAAACCTACAGTAGTACTTGAACAGAAGTGAGGAGAGTGCTTTCATGTCTTTTTAAAAACAATATTTGTTTCCATGAAAAACAGAGAATAGTTATCTCACTTAATGATAAACAACACATTTGCATATATTTTCACTGAAGGTTGCTTTTCAGTATGAATATTTGCTCCTCTATTCATATTGAGTTAATGAGGGAAATACTTAATCAAAGTGATGAGATAAGAAGATACTTTACTTACTTGACTTAGTCTTTTAAAAAAAGATAGAAATACTATCCCAAATATTTATTTCAATTTCTTCACATATAATATTTTGTAATATAAGACTTCAAAATAGATCTTTATCATCTTTATTACATATCCTAAAAAGTTGACAAACACTGAGTTGGACATCTGGAAATGTCAGAGTCACATACCTATAATGAAGTCTTTAGCTTCTCTTTTTGCAAATGAGTATTCAGAAAAGCCTTTTCCCTTAACATATATGGCATGGCTACTAGTGATTGAAGAAACTACAAATGATAGTAATTATCATTGAATTCAATAAACCATTTTATCTATGAAACTAACTGGATATACCAATTTACTTTTGGAACCTCATTATCAAGCCCATTTCTTGACTATCTCAAATGAAATTTATTGTGAAATTGCATTTCTTCCCTAAAAATCTATAAAACATATATCATATTTGAAAAATACACCCATAATTCCTCTATTTTGATATGGAAATAGTGAATTTCAACTCATGTCTATACCTTCCTCTGAACACTTTAATTAACCATGGAATTATCTCCATTTCTTAAAGAATAATGATATAGTCTGTGTTACATTTCAGCCATTTAAAGATATTAATTGCAATCTTAGTTATTTTTCAACCACTTTTTTCTTTCTTTAGCATTTCCTTGCTACTTAAGGTAAAAGCTTAAATCAAAGCATCTCATGCCATCAATAGAGAGATGGGAAGTTAATTTGCAAGGGATTTTTGCATGGGCTCTACACTTAAAATATACTCTGACTTCAAGATCTAGATTTATAGTTTAAGAATTTCAGGATCAGGTCAATATGGAATAAGCACCGTCTTCAACCCCAGTTCTCTGCTAGTATCTTCCCGAGGTCCAAATGCCAAGACTTATATGTCCAGGCCAGTCAGGGGATTAAGGAAAGGCAGGAGAAAAATGAGCACACTGTGAGACTGGCAATTTGACCTTCTATAAAGTATTGTAGCTCAAACCCACCCAGTAAATCTATTAGAATTATGATTACTGTTTCAAAGCAAGAAGCACACTGCAGACATGCAGATTCTTAAGAAAAAAAATTTTAATGTAACTCAAAATATATGTGGGAAAAGAAAATACAAAAGAAAACTTCACACATAATATGGTTCAACCATGCAAATCTCATGACACCTGAATTTTAATCATCCCTTCTGTGAATGGTCCTAAACTAATTAAAAGAGCTTTAAAGATCAAACTCTGTCCTGTCTGGCACTTAATCACAAAGGTAAAATTTTAGGTAGTTTCTATCAATTGTGCATTTTGAGCCATCTATTTAGCTGGCCAAATTCCAAAACACCCTAGTTAGCACAAACCAAGATTAGTTTTCAGGATAGGAAATACAGCTTTATAAAGATTATCATGAGGAGTCTTGGACTAGAACTTTGCTGAGGACCTATTTCTTCAAATAAGTAATCCAGTTTCTGGCCTACCTGTCAGTGTTTATGAAGAGTCCTGAATTATATAGTTTATATGTTTTTCTTAGGTATTATTTTAACTATACAATTTGTAAATAAAACTTACTGCATTATTATTATTATTATCATAGTTTATTATAAATAAGCCTTTTATTTTTTCATTTTGTTTTTATTCCTTAAAAGTCCAAAACTTTTTTATACTATCAAATTAATGGAACCAAGTAGGTTTTCCCCTATTTTATAATGAACATGTGTAGATGGTTACTGCTACTTGAAATTGTTACATATTAAGGAGGCTTTTATTATGACCATTTTATAATTACATTTTTATGATTGTGATCTGGTAGACTATGGTAATATAATACATAGAATGTACCTTCATGGTAATAGCTGATGTAGTATAAATTATTTTTATTAATATAATTTGAATAAAATATTTAAATTCAATATTAATATACAAAGCATATTACATATTTACATTTATTTTTGAAAGATTTATATTTTTCTGAAAAGTTAAAAACATATTTAATTTTTTTTAGTTTTTGATGTAGTGTTCTATGATTCATTGTTTGCATAATGTATTTACATTTAAAAGTACATGTATGTTATGTCTTGTTATATTTTTGAGATGTGATTAGGTTTTATTTTCTAAGGTCAGACTTCTTAAATAACTTTGCAATTTCAGTATAGGTAATATCATTAATGTAATTAAACATTTTGATCAAAGTAAACATTTTACTTCTTTATCTGTTACTAAACTAAAAATATTTTTATTTCATAGGTTACTTTCAAAATATTATTTCAGTTTAACACATCTTATCTCATGGAAAATGTGATCATTCATTTAAGTGCAACAAGGTTGGTTGATATGTATGCATAAGCATATGTGATATAAGTGTGTAAGTATATAATTTCAGGTATTTAGAATATTTTGCTCTATAGACTCACTGGAACTTCTTACAGCTTTTATGAGATCAGTAAAAGCAGAAGGCAGTGAACGCCTTTACTTCACAAAAACATCCTTATGATTAACTAAAAATAAAGAAATTTTTATTTAATAGAATTAATGCATCTACCAAGATTAAACCTTTGGTTCTATGAGCTGTAAAACATGTTGTAATCACACATCACTTATACCTGCCAAACTGCATTTAAATTTTTTAAAATTTTACAGGATTGCTAATTTAACTTTTACTGCCATCACGGTCAACTGAATCATTAGATGGACTTAAATTTTATGATGCCCTTTTGTAGTTTAATACATTTCATCCAAATCATAGATATCATAGAATACCCAGACTAAAAATAACAAAGGGCTAATAAGGAAATTGAAATAGTGTCTTAACTTTCTTCTAAGTGTAATCATCCACTGGACCATAAACTCCTTGAGATAAAGTTCTATCTCTGGTTGCTTTATTCCCTAGTAGCTAGCGTGGTGCCTCACATCTAATAATCACTGAATAAATGTAGAATGAATGAATAAATGAGAAAATAAATTAATGGGTAAATGAATTCTGTGTGCTCAATTTAATCAAGCTCAACAAATATTTATTTGATATCTACTACAGACAAGATATTGAATTAGTCACTATAGGGAATACAAAAATTAATAAGGACATGAACTTAATGGAGTAAACATTATAGTAGGGGGCTAAGAAGACTAATATATAAATTATTATAAAAATATATATATATAAATTATAATATAGGATACAACAAGGAAAATTCATTAAAGAAATATAAGCTGTGTATCAGAGACTTAATAGAGGTTGAAATTAAATCTACTTGGCAATGAGACCCCAAGAAAACTTGATCAAGGAGATTACAATTGAGAAGGACCTTAAAGGGTGAGTAGCAATTCATAGAAAGGTTGGTAAATAGAATTAGGTGGAGCATTTTAGGAAAAATATACAGCTTGAGCAAAAACTCAATGGTGGACCACTAGGTCTACTGAGGGAATATCAGGTAATCCATTTTAGCTCAAATATAGAGAATACATAAAGGAGTAATGAAGATAAACAGGGGGTGTGCATCCTACCATGTTATGGTGAGTATTGAATGTCAGAATGAGACATGTTTTCTTAACTGAGCAAACCATAAGGAGCCAGAAAAGTTTTTGAGGGGTGAAGTGTATATACAGAGCTAGCTGTTTCTTAGGAAGATGCAAGGTTACTTTATCCATAATCCTCATAGAAGTTTGAGAAAACTTGGACTATATCAGTGTGGTTTTCACCCTAGCTACAATTCAGAATCAACTTGGGAAATTTAATAATACCCATTTCTGACCTCCCTCCCCACCCTGATTGAAAAACAACCACAACAACAAAACAAACAAAAAATACAAAAACAAAAATTCTACTCTTCTATGCTTTTATTTAGTTGCCAAGATAAGGTTCCCTTTCAAATGCTCAGAAATGTCTCTAGTCAATAGTTTCAGATTTGTCTGAACATGCTATGTATTTTCTAGTGACAGTGAAGAACCTCCTGAAGCCCTTTCTGATAATGAAGTAAACATTTCTATCCCAGTAAAATATGAAGTTGGACTTCAGTTTTACAGGTAGGAGGAAACTGCATTTTTATGTTGATGCCTTTCTACAAACCCAGTGGTTCTCAAAGTGTGGTCCCTGGCCACGGTCATCAGAAGCACCTGGGAACTTAGGCAAATTCTTAGCCCCACCCCAATATACTGAATCAGAAACTCTGGGGCCCAGAAATCGGTGTTAAACAGGCCCTCCGGGTAATTTTCATGCACTCTAAAGTCTGAGACCCAGCATGCTAAATAATCTTAGATGTGAGGTGCTAATGATGCTGGATTGCATTAGCAGTCCAGTCTAAACTCATTAGCAATCCACTCTAAACTCTGAAGACCTAGAAGAAGTATTTTACAAATGGCAGTGTTCTTAGAGGTCACCAGCATATTTCTTAACTATCATTTCTCATTGTGAGGGATCTGATCAGCCTGCCCATTCTGGACACACAAGATTAAATCATTTCTTATTAATGAAGCTGTTTATTTCTTGCATTATTCATAAATTCTCCTTTCCCCTAAGAACTTTCAATCTATCCAAACACAAATCATATTGGCAACGTTTCCCACTATAAATCCCCTTGCTTAAGCAAGACTCCAAGCTTTTGCTAAAAAAATATGTGCAATGTATATAAAAAGTACAAGAATCAGAGACAAGCTTAGTCTAAAAGTCTTATCATTTTATTAATTTATTTTCTATGGAACTTTGTTTTTTCTGATAACAAACAACAAAAATGAGAGGATAATAGGATATACACATAGATTTTATATATATTACTTAGCCTCCAAATTCTATTTGCTGTTTTCTATCTCGCTGTTATCCACTTCTCTTGGTACAATGACTTTTTTCCAAGAATTTTTCATTTTGTTAAAATCAAATTTTGGCAAACACCTATATATTTTTATTATACTTCATTCCACCAAGTTCATCCAAAGAACATGGAGAAGTTGTACAGGAAAGATTGAATTTTTAAGTTTAGCAGTAAATATAGGCCCTTAATGTGAAAAGGTTAACAATTTTTTTAAATCTATTTAAAATTCAGCACTACTAAAAATACTAAGTTTTAGCCTCATTATTTACAAAATGTAAATGATATTAGTGAATTAATGGAAACTTTTCACTTGGTAACAATGAAACTTTTATTTTAAAAATTGTACGTATTTTGGCATTTTAAGGCCAAATAAGCATCAGTGACTTATTGAGCTGAATTATATCATCTTTCTCACCCTCCTCAAAGATTTAATTGTAGGTTTCAGGGTAAAAGAATTTGCCTCTGATTTGAAATTTCTACAAGTACTTTTTGTGGGATTACCTGGTATAAAGAAAGAAAAAAAGTGAGGTCAAATAAAAGTTAAACTTTGTTGTGTTTTGTTTTTCTTCTTCCAATTAATTCTAAGCTCTGCAAGCGAATACCATATTTCAGTTGCAGCCAATGAGACTGTCCCTGAAGTTATTAATTCTACTGAGGACATTGGAGATGAAATTAATATCTTCTATTTGGTAAGAAACTACCTCTAAATTATTATTGTCAAGGAGTAATTTATAAGTTTATAAATAAATGAAAGTATTAACAGACACATAGAAACATGTTGATTCAACAGTTAATCTCTATATTCCAGAATATTTTTTTATAATTTCACTATTTTGAAGCAATTTTATCTAAAGAATTATTGATAATTATACTTTGAAGCAATTTTAAAAAGTCTCTAATTTCCTCCTAACACATTCTTAGAATGACTTCCTAGAAAAAACAAACTTATAAAACCAAAAAGACACTACCTATAAGCCTATAGACTTTGTTTACATTATGTTTTCAGTATGAGTGAGCAAAGCACTTTTAAAAAAATAAATATGACTATTTCAGAAATTGATTACTTCAGATGTCTTGGTAATATTTTACTTTACTCAACAAATAAATATGTATCTCATTCTGCTCATTGCAACCTTCCATAGGCATCATACTATAACTTATGTTCCTCCTACCAGATCCTTAAGTGATGTTTTCTACTATAAATTTATTTTTCTCTTTGAATTCCTCATAATGAACTTTTCCTAACCATTGTAGCAAAGAATTATGAAGTTAAACCAGACTTTCATTTTAGGTAATGCCTACTTACAGACACAGACTCAAGTTAATATTACTCAAGTAAAAGAGGGTCCAATTCAAATGACGGATTTAAGTATATGTTCAGAAGCATGAAATAATGCAACAGTATTATAAGTGAAAATGGTCTCAATCTCTTTGGGAATTGCCAATAGTGGAAAGGGAAGTTCTCTTACAAAGTGAAATAAATGTATGCTCTCAAGATTCATTCCATTATTTTCTTTTCGTGCTCTTTGCTAAAATTTCTATGACAAGCTATACCCTGGAAATTAGCATGAATGCAGATCACCTTATTATCGAGATTAACTTTTGAAATTTTGGCTGCCAAGCTCTTCTAGCCCCATTTGCTTTTCCCAGATTAAAGAATTCAACAAAAGGAAGGAAGGAAGGAAGGAAAGAATTTTGAATATTATAGCTATTAATATGTTGTTACTAGGGTCCAAACTTGAAATAGGTACTCTCAAACTATTATAAATAATGTTGATATAAATAACATTGTTAAGAATATCCCTGACCGGGGCTCCTGGGTGGCTCAGTCATTAAGCATCTGCCTTCGGCTCAGGTCATGATCCCAGGGTCCTGGGATTGAGCCCCGCATCGGGTTCCCTGCTTGGCGGGAAGCCTGCTTCTCTCTCTCCTGCTCCCCCTGCTTGTGTTCCCTCTCTCACTGTGTCTCTCTCTGTCAAATAAATAAATAAAATCTTAAATATATATATATATCCCTGACCGATATCCACTATCACCACTGCTATTCAGTATTGTACTAGAAGTCCTAGCCACAACAATCAGACAACAAAAAGAAATAAAAGACATCCAAATCAGCAAAGAAGACGTCAAACTCTCACTCTTTGCAGATGATATGATACTTTATGTGGGAAGCCCAAAAGACTCTACCCCAAAACTGCTAGAACTCATACAGGAATTCAGTAAAGTGACAGGATATAAAATCAATGCACAGAATTCAGTGGCATTTCTATACACCAACAACAAGACAGAAGAAAGAGAAATTAAGGAGTCTATTCCATTTACAATTGCACCCAAAACCATAAGATACCTAGAAATAAATCTAACCAAAGAGGCAAAGAATCTGTACTCAGAAAACTATAAAATACTCATGAAAGAAATTGAGGAAGACACAAAGAAATGGAAAAATGTTCCATGCTCATGGATTGGAAATATTGTGAAGATGTCAATGCTACCTAGAGCAATCTACACATTTAATGCAATCCCTATCAAAATACCATCTACTTTTTTCAAAGAAATGGAACAAATAATCCTAAAATTTTTATGGAACCAGAAAAGACCCCGAATAGCCAGAGGAATGTTGAAAAAGCAAAGCAAAGCTGGTGGCATCACAATTCTGGACTTCAAGCTCTATTACAAAGCTGTCATCATCAAGACAGTATGGTACTGGCACAAAAACAGACACATAGATCAATGGAACAGAATCGAGAGCCCAGAAATGGACCCTCAACTCTATGGTCAACTAATCTTCGACAAAACAAGAAAGAATGTCCAATGGAAAAAAGACAGTCTCTTCAAAATATGGTGCTGAGAAAATTGGACAGCCACATGCAGAAGAATGAAACTGGACCATTTCCTTATACCACACACAAAAATAGACTCAAGATGGGTGAAAGACCTAAACGTGAGACAGGAGTCCATCAAAATCCTAGAGGAGAACACAAGCAGCAACCTCTTCGACTTCAGCTGCAGCAACTTCTTCCTAGAAACCTCACCAAAGACAAGGGAAGCAAGGGCAAAAATGAACTATTGGGACTTCATCAAGATAAAGAGCTTTTTCACAGCAAAGGAAACAGTCAACAAAACCAAAAGATAACCGACAGAATGGGAGAAGATATTTGCAAATGACATATCAGATAAAGGGCTAGTATCCAAAATCTATAAAGAACTTACCAAGCTCAATACCCAAAGAACAACTAATCCAATCAAGAAATGGACAGAAAACATGAACAGACATTTCTGCAAAGACATCCAAGTGGCCAACAAACACATGAAAAAGTGCTCAACATCGCTCGGCATCAGGGAAATCCAAATCAAAACCTCAATGAGATACCAACTCACACAGTCAGAATGGCTAAAATTAACAAGTTAGGAAACAATAGATGTTGGCAAGGAAGCAGAGAAAGGGGAACCCTCCTACACTGCTGGTGGGAATGCAAGCTGGTGCAGCCACTCTGGAAAACAGTATGGAGGTTCCTCAAAAAGTTGAAAATAGAGCTACCGTACTACCCAGCAATTGCACTACTGGGTATTTACCCCAAAGATACAAATGTAATGATCAGAACGGGTACGTGCACCCCAATGTTTATAGCAGCTATGTCCACAATAGCCAAACTATGGAAAGAGCCAAGATGTCCTTCAACAGATGAACGGATAAAGAAGATGTGGTGTATATATATACAATGGAATATTATGCAGCCATCAAAAAAAAAACGAAATCTTGCCATTTGCAACGACATGGATGGAACCAGAGGGTATTAGGCGAAGAGAAATAAGTCAATCAGAGAAAGACAAGTTATCACATGATCTCACTGGCATGAGGAATTCTTAATTTCAGGAATCAAACTGAGGGTTGCTGGAGTGGTGGGGGGTGGGAGGGATGGGGTGGCTGGGTGATGGACATTGGGGAGGGTATGTGCTATGGTGAGCACTGTGAATTGTGTAAGACTGATGAATCATAGATCTGTACCTCTGAAACAAATAATACGTTATATGTTAAAAAAAAAAAAAGAAGAAGAAGAAAGAAGATAGTAGGAAGAGAAAAACAAAGGGGGGAAATCGGAAGGGGAGATGAACCATGAGAGACTATGGACTCTGAGAAACAAACTGAGGGTTCTAGAGGGGAAGGGGTGGGAGGATGGGTTAGCCTGGTGATGGGTATTAAAGAGGGCACATATTGAATGGAGCACTGGGCGTTATACGCAAATAATGAATCATGGAACACTACATCAAAAGCTAATGACGTAATGCATGGTGATTAACATAACATAATAAAATTAAATTAAAAAAGAAAAAGAATACCCCGACCATAATCTTTTGTACCTCATTATTTTGCTAAGATAAAATAAAAAATTGGAGTAATGGAATTGAAAAATATATGAACATTTTCTTAGGTGAGACCCAGTGAATGAATTTATTGCTTAAAATGTACCATAGAAAATTATTGGTGATACAAAGATTTATTCTCAGAGATACTCTTTTATTTATTTATTTATTTACTTACTTACTTACTTATTTTTAAGTAATCTCTACACCCAGCATGGGGCTCAAAATCACAACCCCAAGATCAAAAGTCACATGCTCTTCTGACTGAGCCAGCCAGACACCCCTAGGAGATACTGTTATCAGTGTCATTTGTAGTTTAAAAATTGAAACCTGGACACAATCTAAAAGTTTAACCACATATAATTGCTTAAATAAATTATCAGATAGTTATTCAATGGAAAGACAGCTAAAGAGGGCACATTTTAGATTTAAAAAAAAACTTAATTCTGCTATTTACTAGCTCTGTGATTTTGGAAGTTCTTCATTCTCATTCTAACCTTGTTTCCTTATAGGTAAAATAGGGATATTAAGAGAATCTACCTCATAAGGCTGTTAACAGGGTTAAAAGCAATAATGCAAGTAAGAAAATTAGCACAGTGTCTAGAATATAAATAAATGTTGAACATAAATAAATATTGATATTGTGGTTATTATTAAGCAGCCAATGAAACTCATTTCTCAAAGAATCTCTAAGTTTATGGGAAAACACCATGACAATACATTTTATAAGTGGGGTGCCAAATCTTGTATTTTATATGTTACAAATTTTATAATATACATGTATATAATATATACATATATGATAGGTAAGTTGTACACTAAAGTGTTACCAATGTAGTAGAATTGTAGAAAACTTACTTCCTGTTTATTTTCAATATTTTCCAATGTTTCTGTAAATAACATTGTTTTTAATCAAAAAAAATGTTAATTACAGATTATATGATTTTTTATTCTTTAGCAGAAAACAGATGGAATTAGAGTGGGAGGCCATGGCAGGCAATTTTAAGGCATATTACAATAAGAAGGGGCAAGAGTCAAGGAGCATGATTAAGAGGCCAGGCACAGCTGTTCAGAAATTCCTAGAATTCCAAGATTAAGGGATGCATTTAGTTTTAGGCAAACACAGGGAATTGCTTACTGTGTAACTCCCAGTCCAGAAGGCTCAATTAGATAGATCAGTTGGATTTTCTGGCATCTGTCAATTAAGGAGCTCCCTACTCACCTAAGAATTCAGCCTAGGGAGGGTGTGAAGAAGGTGTAGGTCCTGGAAATTATGCTTGAGTGGGAAGAAGGGAGGGCCATAGCACTTGGTTGCTCCAATTCCATTGCACCTCTTCCACTTGTGAGGACTTTTGAATAGCAAATTCGGCTCTCTGCTGAATTTCATCCTGCCTGGCTTTCCTTCCCTATGAGCTACACTCACCATTGGTGGCATGATGTGATATTAAGTGGGAATTGTAGTTTAGTGGATAAAAACAGATGGGCATTGAAAGGAGAATCAATGTGACTCTCATCCAAGTGGATTAACAATCATTATTGACACAGTAGCCTTAGTTGGAGATAAAATGGTGAAGGGAAGCATACTGGTATCTGGTTTTCCTGTGCAGTGGTGGCAGATCCCATGTGGCTGTGCTGAGAAATGATTTGTGGGTTTAAGGAGTTATGGCAAGCTGGTTGAGGCAAACAAAATATGCTCACCTGTTCTGAGTGGATCAAGTAAATGTTCTCCCTCCTTCCCACCTCCAAAAAGACCAGTATGTCCAAAAAGATGATGAGCATAAAGAAATTTAATTCTGATTTTCCTTAATCCCAGTCCTATTTTGGGAGTGGGAGAATGAAGGAACAATATACGTTATAGGTGATGCATACAACCACTATTAAACATCCCTATTTTTTGCTTGTTTAATTATGCCAGTTCTCTATCCAGTGCCGTAAACTGCCTGCATTCGCTTTCAGATTCAAAATATTACACAACTTAATTCCTCAATTAAGAACAGATGTCCTACCTAATACAGAAAGGATGCTGTTGGAAGAGGAAGAGAGGTTACATTTTTATTTTTCTTTCCTGTAGATTAGAAAGAGTGGACATTTTCCAATGCCAGAACTTAAACTGTCAATTTCGTTTCCCAACTTGACATCAGATGGTTATCCTGTGCTATACCCAAGTGGATGGTCGTCTTCTAATGTAAGTAATGTGTGCCTTGGAATTACATCATAATTATTATCTTTTTCAATTTGTATTTAAAACCTTTTGTTTTGCATGCCAGTTGTGATAAAGAGCTTTACCAAAGTGATCTGGAGAAGCATTTAGAAAATTTTAAATAATAATAATAATTTCCACTGGCTCCTTAGTAGATGTATTAGTTTCCTACAACTGCTGTGGTAATAAATTACCCCAACTGGGTGGCTAGAAACAACAGAAATGTATTCTTTCACAGTCCTGGAGGCCAGAGTCTACAATCAAGGTGTCAACAATGTTCATTCCCTATGGAGGCTCACAAGGAGAATCTGTTCCATGCCTCTCTCTTAGCTTCTGGAGGCTGCTGTCAACCCTTGGCATGCCTTAGCTTATGGCAGCATACCTGCAGTCTCTGCCTCGGTCTTCGCGTGTCTGTCTTCCTTGAGTTTCTGGGTCTTTGCCTCTTCTGTCTCTTATAGCACACTCATCAGTGAATTTAGAGCCCATCCTAAACAGAAGGACCTCATCTGGAGATCCTTAATTACATCTGCAATGACACTGTTTCCTTTTTCCTTTTTTTTTTTTTTTTAAGATTTTATTTATTTCTCTGAGAGGGAGGGAGAGAGAGAGAGAGAGCACTAGCAGGGGGAGCGGCAGAGGGAGGAGCAGACTCCCCACTGAACAGGGAGCCCCACACTGGGCTGGATCCCAGGACCTGGTGATCATGACCTGAGCTGAAGGCAGATGCTTAGCCAACTGAGCCACCCAGGCGCCCCAAAATCACCCTTTTTCCACATAAGGTCACACTCACAGGTTCCAGGTGCTAGGACTTGGGCATGTCTTTTTGGAATACTATTCAATCCACTGGAGTAGATTTTAGATAACTACTTGTTGACTTGTGCCTTAAAATGTTTGTTACAGTTTTAATTTGTTTAAGATGATCAAACAGCTCTATAAAGAGACTTTTTAATTGCTCCTAAGCACACACACAGCTACACATAAAACAGTACGGTACTCTTTACTCACTTATCCCAAACAATAGCAGCATCACTTTGTACCTATAGCTTTGAATGAGTCAATGTGGTAAATTGTTATGGTTCAGTCTCTAAGACACAGAAAATCACAATAAATGTTGAAGTAATGCATGCATATTATCAGCATTTGACAATCTGTCTTCAGAGATTTTTTTTAAGTTAAAATACTCTCAAAAATCAAGAAGTAGAAACCGAGATAGTTGGATTATAATCTTTAAATGTTTCCCTAAAGGCAAGGAAAAATTAAACCTCTACCATTTCTCTCTAATCCAAAAAAGCAGGTTTGTGAAGATGTAGGAAGACTAAAATTGTGCTTTTCCTATTACTTATGAACTTTATCCTCATTACCTTTTATCAAGGATGTAGAGAGTCTTGATGAACGAAAGGCTTATTAGAGTAAGTCTAGTAAAACAATCCAAGAACAAGCTGTCTTACAAACATGACATCTTAACATTTATAGGGCTGCTTACTTACATCTTCTTTCCACATGGACCAAATATCTTACCCTTGGTGTTTAGAGACTCCTAAAATATTATTGGATGAATACACAAATACAGATGAAAGCCCCTCTCTTTTTTTTGTTTGTTTCACAAACCATCGTATGAGCCAACATAATGAATAACAAATGCTAACCTTTTTTTTCAGTATAGTTTTAACTTCTTTTCTCTCTCTGTATTATGGGAATTTACAACTAATGTTTGATGAAAACAATAAATTAATGAGTTATGTTATGCAATAGTTAAGTTCCACTAGCATCCTTCCTTTTTGTTTTGTTTTCTTTAAAGATTTTATTTATTTATTTGACAGAGAGAGACACAGCAAGAGGGAACACAAGCAGGGGGAGTGGGAGAGGGAGAAGCAGGCTTCCTGTGGAGCACAGAGCCAGATGCGGGGCTTGATCCCAGGACCCTGGGATCATGACCTGAGCCGAAGCAGATGCTCAATGCCTGAGCCACCCAGGCGCCCCACATCCTTCCTTTTTGATAACAACCTCCCTGATCTCTATTACAATTCAAAAGTAGCATTCTAACAGTAATTTTTATCTGGGAGTGGGGGTATATGGATGCTACAGAACAGCTCCTTCCATGTTGCACACTCCTGAAGATGGATCTTTCATCTGTGACAATGGCTGTCACTCAGATTCTTCACTTTATTGTACCAAGTCATTTTTCCTTCTGACACCTGGCATTGTCTGATAAAAGAAATATTTTTACTTCTTAGAATGCAAACTGCAGACCCAGTAGCCTTCAGGACCCTCTTGGTGTCAACTCTGGGAAGAAAATGATTATATCCAAACCTGAAGATCTCAAACGAGGCACAATTCCGGTAAATTCAGATAACCAAGACAAGTGCTAGTTTTATCTCATGCTTTTTAAGTGAATAAATTCAATATCAACCTAAAAATAGCTATCTTATAGAATACTTTAATATGGTATCTTTTTGTCAAATGGCAAAGATACTAATATATACCTCTGAACATTTAAACAGGACTGCAGTACGTGTAAATTTGCTACTATTACGTGTACTTTGATTCCTTCTGACATAAGCCAAGTGAATGTTTCACTTATCTTATGGAAACCAACTTTTATAAAAGTAAGTGATTGCATTGTTCTCTGTAATTATTGAATTATGTTAACAAATATTTGCTCATTACTTAGTATATGCAAAGCAGAGTGCTTCTGTAGAAAGAACTGGAAGTGTAAAAAAATGTGGTCCAAGCCCCAGCTCTACTTAACCAACTATTTGGGTCTCATTTTCCTTGTTTATTAGTAATGAAGTTATCTCCAAGGTCTCCTTCCAGATGTATACTTTTTTTTCAGTCTCTCTTATTCTTTTTTTTTTTTTGTACCGCTGGAAATAAAGACCTATACAGTATCAAAGTTTGCATTTATCTTAACGCTGTAGAACTCAGTTAAGGGACAAAGAATTATAGAGAGACAGTGCTTGACTCCTTGATACCATTAACAATAGAGCTAACATGTATTATGGACTCACTGTATTAGATTAGACTTCACATATATATATGTATATATATGACACACATTTATATATACTACATATATACACACATTTATATATACTATATATATATGCACACATATGTATGTATATATATAAAATAGGAGGACATTTTTTAACTACTAAGAGTCAAATCTGTCTGACAACAAGCTACTTTAAAACTTAATCCATTGTATTTTGTATGGTTTCTTTCTCTCTTAGAAGTGTTTAGTTAATTATATGAAATTTCCAATTTTTAGGTTCGATCATGTTAAGTTACAATTTGTATAAATCACAAACTTATGGATATTGGCAATTTCATGTTTAATCCTGCACAAACTCCTATATAAACTTCATTACCAGAGTGTAGCTATTTCATACCTAGCTATATGAAAGGGGGGCAGGGTTTGAGATTTGTTTTTGCTAAGGATAAATCTGTAGAAAATGATATAGAATTGTTTCATTCTATAACAAGGACCTAAGTGAAAATTTGAGTGGAGAGAAGAGGGATGGGTCATTTGAAACCACCAGTTCCATTTGCATGTTAACAAAACCAGTGTTTTTAAATCTCTCAGGAGAATCCATATTTTAAAAATTGCACTACTCAAACATGACTAGCTCTCACTGTGATTAGCATAATATTTTGAAAATAAATCCTGTTTGCTTTTCAGGCACATTTTTCCAGCTTAAATCTTACTGTAAGGGCAGACCTTCAGAGTGAAAATACATCACTGATTTTAAGTACTGGCAATCAAAAAAGAGAGGTAAGAGCAACTCTAAGTTTTGAAAACATTATACATTTCACTCTGAATTCTATGACATAATGTTTTATAATTGCTTATAGAACCTAAGGCAGCAACTAGCTAGTCACTAAGTAACAGATACTTTTTGCTTCAAATTATACTTAATTAGCTTCAAGTGTGATTTCAGTCTTCTTTGTAAGAAACTGGGAAAAACCATGATATTTACAATTAACATGCCATGTTTGACTTTACCGCTTGTAACTATCACAATAAATTGTTTTTACTTTCACCTTGATAACAAATGATGCATTTGTGATTTTCCTCCTTAAAAACTTACATTGTAAAATGCAGTTGACATCTGAAGAGCAGACTTGAAAAACACTTTAAAGAAAGTGTACACTGTACAGAAATAAATGTAAATTTTGAAAGGTTTTCTTCATTTAGTCATTGGGAGATCTGAAGCAAAAATGAAATATTCCCTCATACAAATTCACATTTCAGTCCTTGGTAAAAATAAAATGGTTTGATGTTTTTCCTCCTGTTTTATTATAAAATAAGGCCAGAATACTTGTTACTGATGTGGCTATGTAAGCATTTCTCCTCTTATCATGGGAGAGTTTAAATGTCCCATGTGGATAGTATGAGTCATATAATTTTATTTGGAAGCTACATAACATTCAGATGTTTAAAAATTTCTTATTTCAAATTAATACTTATCTCAAATAATTCCAGTGTCAATGACCCCTGGTAAGTATTCACCTTTAAAGAACATATGCATATAACGTTTATTTACATTATAAAGAACACTGATAAATGCAAAGTTGTTCCACATGCAGAGAAGCCAAAATTTTACCAGTAAGCACCGCCCCCCCCAAAACTGAGTGTAAATTATATTGGAAAAGAGTACTTTTGATTCCTGGATGTGTTTTGTTGAAATTTTATAATTAGCTTTATTTCCCCTAAATGTTAGCTTAAAATTCCCCATTTTGAACTATTATTCAACATCTTAGCCTAAAAGAAAATTGTACGCCCATCGTTAAAATTACTAGAAGTGATCATTTTGTAATTGTGTGATCTTAGAGAAGTCATTGATCCCATCCAGAGTTCAGCTTCTGTATCTATCAGTTCAGGGAATTGTTTTAGATGCATTTGAAATCTGTCTTCTAAGATCTTATTCTGTACATATGTACATTCATGCCAGCTCTGTGTCCCCAAAGCGTCAGCAGTGACCCACCCGTCGCCATCTGAGGAGTTTGTACCAGCAGCCAATATATGTAAATATCTCCCCTGTTCTCTTTTTTACCTCCAGTCTGCCCTCTAGCTTTAGGAATTGAGATGTTCCCTGTGACAAGCAAACACAGAAACTTGAGCTGTCATTCATTGTTGAGATCTACACTGAATTAGTTTTTTCTCAGAAACCTTGGGATGAGACCCAGGGCAGACAAGTCTCGCTGCGGTTTGGGTGCCGCATTGAGTGGCTGCGACACTAACAGCTGTTTACCTCCAAGTTTTCCTTCAGTTAAGACCTAATATACAGACTGAAGAGAAGTCGACTGGCAGGGACAGTGCAGTCTGATAAAAATACATAGGGGTGAATATATGTGCAAAAATTCATGTTATCTGTCCACTTGAGATTTGTGCATTTTACCATATGAAAATTATATGTAAATTTGTAGACAAAAAATAAAACACATGAAAATTAGAATTAGAAGACCACCTACTCAGGTTGATGATGTCAACAACCTGTGGTAACGCTCCAGCCTAAACTTTTACCATCATGATAATGCACTAAAGTCAATCAATAAATCCTTAAAATATGTAATACTTTTGGTTCTCACTGAGTTAAATTCACCTCTGCTCCCTAGCATTCTGATTGATGGACAGTTTACTCTTTACGTGTACATTTCTAAAGCATAAGATTATAAATATTTTGGGTAATAATAAATTTGACATCCTTAGAGATTTTTAATAGATGAGGGACATTTTTAAATGTAAACTCAAGGTTTTCTCTGTATGTAGTAGTCAGATTAAGTACATTGTTTGGTAGAAAATTATAGCCTGCAAGAACTCAATGTACCAAGAATTGTAACAGGTGTTTATCAATGTTAACAGTCTTGTTTAATAAATTTCAGTTTGCTATTCAAATATCCAAAGATGGACTGCCGGGCAGAGTGCCATTATGGGTCATCCTATTGAGTGCTTTTGCTGGATTATTGCTATTAATGCTGCTCATATTAGCACTGTGGAAGGTAAGCACCAAAGTTCCTTTGACTTTCTATTTCAACTATCAACAACAAATTGGTGAAATAAATTATTATTTATCCATGCTGTGTAATATGGTATTATACAACCATTAAAAATATTGAGATGATGACCAAGACAAAAGAAAAAAATGTATTTCCCAAACGCTGTGTACAACTTGATCCCAGTTTTGTAAAAAAAAAAAAAAGTAAATAAACAAATCCAAAAATCATGATGGATCTCTCTGGAGATTGGGATTGTAAAAGACCTTTATATGTCTATAACATTGAGAATTGTAAATGAAGTATGCATTACTTTTATAAATAAAGAAGAATGAAAACTCTCTTTTATAAAAAAAGGACAAAATGAGTTCTTATATCAGTTTAAGAATATATAAACAGTAGAATGGTTAAGATGAGCCTTGTCCAAATACATATCTCTCTGTATCTTAAAAACTAAGATTTCTTTAATATATGAAGAAATATGCCACATTTTATGCAATAGTTGTGTGCCTGAGTGAGAGAGGATAAATTTATTACTTAGTTGATGAAAGAGAAATCTTACTGTTTTACTGACTCCTATTTCAAATCCTCTTGTAAAACTATTTCTATTGGATAAATCCATATATTTACATAGATATTTTGCTTATACTGAGGTGTGTGAGATTTTTCAAATTCTTAGCTGTATCACTTTCAAATTAAGCAGAACTGAGATGACAGAATTTACACTAAATTTAATAGAGAACAAAATTCTATCGAAAAGTTGAATTTAATGTTTTTTTCCAATGAAACATCAAATTGGTATTCATTCTAACATTATACCACCCTATATTTTACCAAATTGCTTTATTAAATAGCTAAACTCTGTTAAAAAATACAGGTTGTGGTTACATATTCATTTTTTTTCTAATACCTGAGCAGCAGAATTCTCTTTAATCAAATAGTTTAAATAATAAATTTCTGTCCCACAAATTGCCAACAGTTCTACCTTTTTGACTCGCTTACAATGCCTAACTTCCTCTTTTGGGGGGATTGCACTCACAGAGGATGATAAACAAAGCCATGTTAAAGGTGTAGGTCAGTAACATTTAGTTCAGTAAATAGAAACCATAGCTTTTCTCTCGCAAAGTCTCTAAGAATTCCTGGCTTTCTCAAACCTGCAGCTCCTTCTACACTGCAGGGTTATCAGTGCTTTGTCTGTAATACCTGGCTTTGCCACACCGTGGTCCCCAAGACCTGTCTTAGAGGTTGTGCTTGAAACAAAGATTGTGGTTTCTTCACTTCTACGCGCCTCTACTCCAGAGAGCATTTTACGGATTTCTTTAAGTGTGCTTTTCTATTCTGAGCACTGCACTTGCCCATGTAGTTTTAGGAGACAGCTGACAAGAGAAAAGGAAAGCCAGAGCTGATATTTGGATAGATTTTCTCTGGTGGCATATCTCTGCTTAAAACAATTAAGTTTTATTCACCTAGTTTTTTTGGCCACCAGTCTGAAGACGAATAAAGGTAAAAATAAACACATTCTTCCATCCAATAAATGTTTTGTTGATATGTTCTGCTGGCTTCTTGGATCTCTTTAGGCCCAGGAAGGAAGGTCATTTAGCAACCTTTGGACTGTTCTGACCAGTAGGTGCAGTTAGTTCAACCAGTTCAGTGGGAGATCCAGTGATCAGATCCGCGACTCCACAGGGAGGGGGAAGAGAAGAGAATTAGGGAGGGAAGAGAATTAGGACTTACTGAATGCTTTCAACATGCAACTGTTTTAAACTTTTCCACTTTAATGTTAGCATCAGCCCTCTGAGAAAGACACGACTATGAACCTCATTTTATTAATGAGATGCTGGGACGTACAAGAGTTAAATATGTTCCCCAAGGCCACATGGTTTATCAGATTCAGAGTAAGGACCGAAATCCAGACCATTTTACTTCCTTGCCAACACTGTTAACCCCTTGCTTTGTGTTCCCTCTTGCTTTTATTCACTCTGTTGTGTTTACAACCTTTTCAACAAAGTATATTAACTACATGTTATATTTGAGGACATTAAAACAAAGAGAAGTTAAGTAACTCTCCCAAGATTACCAGCTAGTAAAGGACTGGATGCAAGCAAAGCTCTATCAGCAAAGCCCATCCTTTTCCAGTATCTCTCACTGCTAGAAGCCTCTAGGCAGGGCTCTTTATTCTGGAGCTCCAGGAATTGGATTTTGTTCAAGAGGGTCATGAACTCTCTGAAATGTATAAAAATATTTTGTTTTGGAATGAGAGTCCCTGGTTGGATTCGGACTTTCGGCAGCTCCATTATACTACAAAGATTAATTGCCCCTCCTCCTGCTTAAAGCCATGTGGAACTTCCCTGAAGCATGTATTTGGTCTGCAGAAGACTCAGAAGAGCTACCCAGGGACTTTTTTTTACACTTACTAGACCGGGAGCAGAAATTTCAGGACTATCCCTTCTTCCTCCTTCTTCCAAATCTGACCACTCTGGGGCACCTGGGTGGCTCAGTCAGTTAAGCGTCTTCTTTCGGCTCAGGTCATGATCCCAGAGTCCTGGGATCAAGCCCCGCATCGGGGATCAAGCCCTGCATCAGGCTCTCTGATGGATGGGGAGCCTGCTTCTCCCTCCTCCCCTGCTCGTGCTCTCTCTCTCTCTCTTACTATCTCTCTCTCAAATAAATAAATAAAACTTAAAAATTAAAAAAACAACAACAACAACAAATCTGACCACTCTGGAAATTCATTGGAACTCCCAGGGTCCATACAGGGAACAGGCCAAAGATTCTTCCTGGAGCTGTGACTCTATTTCAAAAAGCGCTGTCTTTATATAATTTATCCTTGCAGTACACGTGGTAGAAATTAAAGTTTTTCAAAATCTTAGTAGTAGCTTGTTATACTTAATATTTTTTTATTTTTTAAATATTTTATTTATTTATTTGACAGAGAGAGAGATAGCAAGAGCAGGAACACAAGCAGGGGCAGTGGGAGAGGGAGACGCAGGCTTCCCGCCTAGCAGGGAGCCCGATGCAGGACTCGATCCCACGACCCTGGGATCATGACCTGAGCCGAAAGCAGACGCTTAATGACTGAGCCACCTAGGCATCCCTTGTCATACTTAATATTGAAGAGAGAAGGCTTTTAGGGGGCACAGTTTTAAATAGATTGAGAAACAGGGTCTGGAATATAGTACCACACATTGAGGGAGAAGCCCAGTCAGGCCAATATAATTGAATAGATTGAAGTGAGACTCAGCCCACAGAGAAGCCCTAAGAAAGCAGAACGTTTTTCTCTCTTAACTTGATTTCATACTGATGGCTGAAGTTCCATCACTGATGATTTATTTACTAATCCGAAAGCTTTATTCCTCATCCAATACACATATCCTTGGTGGATGTGGACAGGGAATAGCGCCACCATTTTTTAGTCTTTTATACATTAGTTAAATTTATTCATTCAACATTTATTCCATATTATAGTCAGTAAGCCCGTAATTTCTACCAGGTACTGTTGAATCTGACCCTTTGCCGTAGGGTTTTGAACTAAGGATAAGCATAAATAAGACCTAGAACTTACTGATAAGTAAATATGGAAAGGCAAAGAAGGAAAGTGAAAGTTGTTAGTCTGGGCACTGAAAACAAACTTAACTGGTTTTTAATTTTAGCTAGTATTGGCCCCAGCCAGTTTGAAGCTATGTACTGCATTCACCTAGTCTGCATTCTTATGACCCAACTTCCACTAACAAACCATGTTAGTAGAATTAGTTGAGTGGAAAAGTTCAGATAACACAATTTAGTTTTAAAATAGAGCCCTTAGTGGCTCAGTTGGTTGAGCATCCAACTCTTGATTTCAGCTTAGGTCATGATCTCAGGGTTGTGAGACGGAGCCCTGCATGGGACTCCGTGCTCAGCAGGGAATCTGCTTGGGATTCTCTCTCTCCCCCTCCCCCTGCCCCTCTCCCCCACCCCTACTACTTGCTCGCTCTTGCTCTCTCTCTCAAATAAATCTTAAAAATAAAAAATAAAATAAAATAGAACATTTAGTATGTGAAAGCAAAGGAAGGTTGAAAAGATGCAGAAAGACTTGAGAGGGAAAGGAGAAGAGAGCGAGAGCAGGGCAGGACAGGAGAGAGAAAAGTCTTACATTCACCACCTGCTCCTGCGAAAGCCTTGTTGGATTTAGTTTCAACTCAGGACCTGCAGGCACAAGGTAAGGAGACTTGATAGTTTGTGAATCCAGAACTTTTATTGTTGGCTCAAAGAAAAAACCCTGAGACACAGAACTGCCCCTTGAAGCAGGACAAATTTATTGTTTTTTCACGTTTATTTCTCTGTTGTCACCTTTTCCTCATCTACCACCCGCTAGACCCTGACATGATGGAGGACATAAAGCCCTGTCATGGCGAAAGACATAAAGAAGTTACCTGCTCTAACTTAAAACTGCATTTTGACTATTTATCCCATCTAAGCTCTCAATTATTCAATAATGATTTCTTGAAAATATACCATTCTCTTGCATAATTCACCATAACTTCATTATTAAAATGATACGGAGGTACTATACTTTCGAAGAATTAACTCATTGTCTGCTTGAACTATTATAATCCACTCTCAAATAAAAAAAAAATACGAACTTAAAAAAAACACTTCTCTAGGATGCTTAATTTCCTTTTATTTAAAATACCCACATTTTAGATAAGATTATTACAAAGGTCCCTTCCAGCCCCTATACTTATTTTTATTATAATGTACAGCAGGAAATAAATAAAGCACTTATAATTTTTATGATGACCCAAATTACAAAGTATAATGAAAAGTAACCCACATTCACCCCTTTGTGAAATTTCTTTTATGTTCAGTGAGTTCCTTTTCATATCCAAATGATACAGCATGTTTTCAAGAGGCACTTCCTGTCAAGCCTATAAAGGCAGATGTTCTAACACATTTAAAGTTAATCCAGACAACTCAAATCTCCCCCACCCTCAGCCATGGTGCATGTGCCAGATTCCCTCCCCCAGCTCTAATGACCTCACTTTGTGACCATCAGTTATTTGATGGAATTTCTCTGCCACATCCCTGAGAAAAAAGATGATGGCAAAGTGCCATTTAATGCCAGCTAACTGTAGTTTATATGTCTTTCCAAATATTTTCCCTAGTACTAGTAAAAACCACATGTACTAGTTTTTACTAGGAGACATGATATATTTAACCAACAAAAAAGTTTAAAATGAAATAGCAATTTGACAAATGTCATTTCTTGACAGTCAATATTACTTAATAGGTCAATGAAAAAAATCTCAATTATATTAATTATTTGAATGCCCAGAATCACTAACGTAGTATTAAATTTTATCCAAGGAAATTAGCATTTATTATCTAAATTCAAATAATTAATTGTGTTATGTTTGGTATTTTCTCAACAGATTGGATTCTTCAAAAGACCACTAAAGAAGAAAATGGAGAAATGACATATTTTACAGGAGGAAAAAAATAACAGTTATTCGATGATCTATCCTCAGGTTTGCCTCAAATATGTGACAAGAAATTTATTATTACAGTTAAAGACATAGTCACATAACTTTATGTAATCCATCAGGGATTAATCATTTGGAAAATGACAGATCAAGGAAGATCCAAAAACAATACCAGAAAGATATATTTTGTAAAATGAAGAAAAATATTTTTAAATAATTACTCATTTGTGTTAAGTAGAATTACAAAGTGTTTTGAAGATGAAGAATAACTTGTACAAATATGTTTATATATTAAATCAGCATCCAGAGTATTTAAGGAATGCATAAAAAGATTTTTATGATCATCGATAAATTAAACTTTTTCCATTGATTCCTGATGGATATCTACATTCAGCATGATAGTCAACATTTGTAAATGACAAGAAAGAAATTAACTGAAAAAGATCACTTCTCCCTATTTAAATGAGAAAATTTTCCTGGGTAGAGTATATATAAAACATGGAATGAAAATAGAATTAAGTCACAGAGAATGCATTCAGCATCTTTGTCTTCGGTTCTGTACTTGGAAAGTTTTTTGTTTTTTGTTTTCAAAGTGTTTAGAAAAATTGAGCTGATGGAAAACGAAGATAGACTTGTTTAAAGGCAACTCACTGAAAGAATTAATTTAAGCTTTCACAGAACATGCTTAATTTTGACATGAGCCCTAAAACTCAAAACTTTTATGCTGAAAACAACACTTCACAGAAGTTTTGTGGGGCATACCAGTGATTTGTCATGAAAAGCCATGTTGTGTGCGGGATATGCTAAGATGGCTTCTGAATGGAACATGCAGATGCCACGGAAATGCCCAGCTGGGCGGCTTTTGAACGCTAGGAGTCCCAGGATGTAACCCAAAGTAGGAGCTTTCTCAACTCCTTGGCACATGGTTCATTTAAACCCTCAAGCTGTGAGAGTACGTTTGTTTTTAATTTTTTAAAAGGTATTTAAATTTCCAAACACATTTCTTATTTTTATGAAAGTCAGTATTCCATTTCGGTATTGTATTTTACCAAGAAGCCACTGCTTTTTTAGTGTGGCATATCCATATTTAAATAGAACTCTGGAAATGTATTTTAAAGAATCTTAGGTTGGAACTTGCACCAAAAGAAAGATATCACACCTCTGTATGAGCTTCTTTGCTCCTGAAGTGATCATTATGGTGCATTGGACTCTACTGCAGCATAAGCTCGTAGGTTGCTCCGTTTCTTAGGAAAGTAACAGTGGATGAATGTATTATAGCCGCATGTGTGAACTACTGCTGTAAAATTTGCTGATACTTCTGTAACAACTCCATCTCTCCACCGGGCTGACCATCACAAGACCAGCACCTACCTGTCCAGCAACTTATCCCGAAAGTCCTGGACTCTCCTATTCTCAAAAAGCATCAAATCAAGGGCGAACTTAAATGACATAGGTTTAATTTTTAAAACTAATTTCCAAGGAATTTCCAAGGCCGACTCAGAGTCGGCCTCCCTTGTGGCTCTCCACATCTATGTCTACGATCTGACGATCAAAGTCATGCACCTGGGAAGTGCTGAGGTCATCAATACTAGAAGAAAAGCTCAAACTTTCCAGAGATTTGATATCCTCCTGCTGGTCATTGTTCAGAAATATCCACTTCGGGAGTTTCCTTCATTCCCACTACCTATCTCCAGGTTCAGAAATCACTCTCCCCACCTGTTCTTTCTTTGCCCAACAGAACTCAGGCTCTCTCTTATTCGGAGTCACTGCATTGCACAGCCTGCTCGGCAACTCAGCTCCAATCTCAGCACATTCTTAGAAGTAAATCGAACAGGTAAACTTAAATTCACACTTGGTCTCTATGACTGCTAGGCAAAGCATTCGCTGAAACAGGAATGTGCACATTTCAACCAAATACGATATTAACCCAGAGGGGAAAGATGGAAACAATGGCATTTTGAACTTGTTAGAAAAGACAGGAAGAACCATTCGGACAGATCAAATAGCTACTTATAAGCCTGGCACAGTTTTTAACATAAGTTGTTCCCAGTTTTCAAATAGAATGTTTAATGAACCAGATATCCCTTTTCCCTAATACTATTATTTGTTGAGCTTTATGTGTGAGCATCTGTATGTGTGTGTAAACACACATGTACACACACACGAATGGACAAACACAAATCAAATACGAAATACCTCAATAATACCAAATAACAGGGTTTGACAAAAATGACAAAAAAATAAACACAAAAGCTACACCAACAAGAAAAGTTTGATTCATCCGTTTTCATTAATTCATTCATTCATTTTCATTAATATTTAACTTTAGTGCACAGTTCTGCAACTATCTAAAAGATAAATGTGGAAGGTTTGATTAAAATAATAAGTCAACAGTACAAATGTTCTAAAACATAATCAATGATTAAGAAATATACTAAACTATCATTTTATTCTAAAGCACTTAATAAGAAAAGTGAGTGCTATTTAAGAATATGAGTTTATGCCAAAAACTTTTTTTTAACTTTGGTATTTTACAAAGTTGATTATTTCTTCCATTGTGAACTAAAATATGTATGAAGTCCCTTTCCAGACCAAACTTAGAATGGTATATTGGTAAATTATTCAACAACTGGCTCTTCAGGAGGAAAAAAAATCCCTGATTTGTATAATTTGCCTATTTCCATGATTTAAATAGGCTTGCCATGGCCATTTTCAAGCTACCAATATAACCCTAACCAGCTTGCAAAACTCCTGAAAATTGATCTGTCAACTCTTATGAACCAGTGTAAGCTGGCTTCAGCACACCATTGAAATAGATTAGATGAGGGGCGCCTGGGTGGCTCAGATGGTTAGGCGTCTGCCTTCGGCTCAGGTCATGATCCCAGGGTCCTGGGATCGAGTCCCGCGTCGGGCTTCCTGCTGCTTGGGAGCCTGCTTCCCCTTCTGCTTCTTTCTCTCTCTCTCTCCATCTCTCATGAATAAATAAATAAAATCTTAAAAAAAAGAAATAGATTAGATGATAATAATAGACAATAGATAGATGATAGATAGATAACAGATACAGAGATGTAACATGTTAGATATATATACATACATAAATACACACAATATAATTGTATTTCAAATTAATGCTTTAAATGCTCATCTCAAGCCCAGCAGACATAATGCTATCCCTCATTCTTCAATTTCAATTTCTAGAATTATAGCTTTCCTTTAATATTAATAAAATCATATAAATTTTCAGGCAAAGCAAGGAGTTGAAAGCAAGAAAATACAAAGGGTGACACAATGAAAATCAGACCTTCACAGCCACAAAGAAGCTGTCTTACTTTCTCAAGGAATCCAGAACCCTGAAACGATACTGTGAAAGTTCATCCTTTGCAAATATTTGTAATTTCTATGATCCAATTTGAAATTCAGTTGTCCAATTTATTCAGTTATTTTCTTTGAGCCTTAAAGTCACGGGCAATTTAATCTCTGAATATTTCCATGTCATCAGTATGCTTAAAATGAGGCTTATAGAGGGAGATATTTTTGTAAAATTTGATGCTTACTCAACCATGATAAATGTACCTACACATGCAAATACCTATTAATACCTATAAATATATATATTCTCTTTTCCTTTTACAAAACCAATATCTAGACTCAATTGGAAAACAAATATCTGTACCAAAAGCAAAAGGTGGTTGCACAGTGTTTGACTCAAGCTGGATTGTAGCAGCTGTGAAAAGCTGTGCCCACATTCTCCCCAGGCATCCTCTGCAAGGGCCACAGCTTGTAGGGTGAATGGCCACCCCTCCAGCTCCAGGCAGTGTCTTTCATAGAGGATAATGCCTTTGTCAAATGTGGTAACATGCTCTGTGTGAATTAACTGTCTTGCTTGGCACAACACTGAGAAAACTAGGGAAGACCCAGATTTAAAGCATGATTCAATGTGCTTGGTGCAGTCATGTTATTGTTCAAATAAGGAGGCTTCTGGCAAATCCTTTTTTAGAAAATAATATCCTCTGCATCCTTCATTTATTTTCAACACCTCTCAAGTCCTCTGCATTAGTGATCGCCCCTAACCCCCAACACCAAGGGAGAGTTTCAAGAAGACTATTGGAGGAAAATCTGTTTATATGTGCTCTCTGTTTGCTGTGAATACCAGCTTCAATGAACTGATCATTTATACAGGATTTCAGGCCTCAGTTCTTCTGTGACACTCTAAAGGCATAACATGATATAGGCATAATGTAATGGGACAAAATGCCCTGTACCTCAGAGAAGTAATATCTTTAACAGATTTGCCAACCTTTGTGGGACGCTGTCAGCAACTATGCCAAGGGTAGGATGTAGCCACCAGCACCCTACAATCTCCATCCTCACCCATGGCCATAATAATCCAAAAAATTAAAAGAGGGCTCTAAAATCTTCAGACTGATACTATTTTTTAATGTAATTTAATTGTAAACAGCAGAAATTTTTTAATGCAAACAGAGCTTCAAGATGAGTCCACTCAGCAACCCCTTCATATCAAACTGCTGTCCCTAAACCTCCCCTACACAGAACTTCTGAAATCACCCCTAGATGTTAACTCTGCAGTACATTACAAAAGGCTCAGTTCTGCTGTTACCCAAATGGAAGCACTATTGTGCAACATCTTATCTAAAACAAAAATAGAGCTACATCTAACATTGTCATCTGGTGAAGAAGTCAGTATCTTTGATCCTCATATTAAAATTTAACCTTGAATTTAAAAATTCCAAGTAACAGCCTTTAACCATCTACCTTGAGGAAACCTGAAGGAGCTCCTAAGCCCCATCGTTCCCTGTGACATCTGGCACCAGGAGGTTCAGGTCTTAAGTGATGGGGATGGATACTTCTGCCTCTGAGCTTAACTCCTGAATTCACTGCACCCCAGATCAGCCTGGCCCCACTCCATATCAGATATACACATAAGCACTTCTTGCTGAAAATTTACCATACTGAAAAATATGCAAGGGTGAGTTATCACTTCAAATGTACTCTGCTTTGAGGTCAGCCTTTTTTTTTTTTTTTGCCTTTTTAAATATATCAAAACCTTTCCCCCATAACTAATGAGTGCTGAACTTTACCTAAGACTTCCTTGCATTTGCCTCCTGCCACGGGCTGGAGAATTTCCGTGCCATGAGGACCGGACAGCAGGAGCTAGAGTCCATCTGCAGGATCTTTCTGCCTCCTGCCTTCTGCCTTCCAGTTGATCTCTTCTCTTCTCAAGTGCACAATGGGGATGGTTTGTTTTGATTTGGAATTTCCTTGGCAAGGCCATTATAAACCTCGTGCCCCTTGCAGGACTTTGCATGGTTGCATGTTTTCTCTGGTGAGTTGAGACTTGGAAATCCTTTAATTATCTGACACACCACAGAAACCCTGGCTATAAACTAGGGACCAGTGACACTCCCAACTATGATGATATTTGATTTTACCATATTTCAAGTCACATCGTTAGGGAGGGAAAAAAAAGACTAAGTGGAATTTTAGAAACTCTTCTGCAAAAGCCTGAGACTGGCAGTCTTCCTATCATGCCCCCAAGGCTTCTTGCATCTTGAGAGACAGAAAAAACATGGGGGGGGGGATGGAGGTGGGGAGAGGAAATAAAGCTATTTATCTTTTATATATACACCCTTCTTCCTCAAAATACCGCAAGCTTCCTTAGACCACATCGTACCCCCATGCAATACTAACACATGTACTTTGCACAAGTAAATTGTTGATCAAATAAAAATATATTCTTCCTTGCTTATTAGCCGGGGCTAATTTCCTGGAGTTTAGTACACTTTGTCTCAAGTAAAAACAATCATGTGAAGCAGCAACACATCAGATCTTCTTCATACTGGAATCATTTCATACAGGACATCCTAATACTTCGCATTTAATTCTGACATCTCTTGGCCTTATTGCAGGATGCAACAGCTGTCTTCATTAGGAAACATTGGCCTGTGAAGAGAATGGTGTACTATGTATTACTACTGTGAGGGTGTAAAATTGTTAACAGACAGTGTGAAGAATTGTATCCATTTGATTAAGAAGAAGAATATTGTATATAATAACTACTGCCCTGAAACGCGTATCATATCACTCCAATAAAGTTTTCAGCATGGTCTGACATCAGGTATATTGCATTGTGTATTTTTTTTATTTACCTCAGAATAAACTCATTAAAATGAATAAGTTAAGGGTATGTGCATTTCTGTAAGACTTTTATTGGACAAACTCATTAGAAGAAATTGTTTTCATCTCCTCAAGAACAAAGAAGCACAACCTTTGTTGACTCTAGTAATTTATTAGATGCCTAACTTAAACCCATTTTTAAAAATCAGTTATCAGGTAACAGTCATTAAAGTGACAGAATTAGAAATAGCTGAGAGAGTAAAAGAGTATTTTGAATATCCAATATATGGTACATCCCGTACAGTGATTTGAGGTCAGAGGTTTGGTATTTTTAGTATAATTCTTTCTTATCTTGTGCATCAGCTGTGCATCTTACGTCAAGGTAAAGGAGCATCCTGTCTTATCTATGAATTTTTTTAAATGATTCAAAGAAGAATGTGATTGTTGTGATTTTAAGTACATAAATTTTATCCAAGATTAGTATTTCTTCCAAAACTCCAGCTTTTTTTTTTTTAGCTCCTTTGTAGGTTTTCACTTTGATGGTCTAAAAGGAAAAAACAAAAGCAAATTAAGTGTGTCTGTGGTGTTTCCTGTACACAATATAGCAATGTGATTAGTCTTTTGCAAACTTGACACAAAAGCCACAGAATCCGTATTACTACATATCTTCTTCTAATGGGATGTTTTAATAATAAATTATCTGTTGTATAACAATAGATTGGACCACATGGTGAGAAACAAAAAAAATACTAAGAAATGAAAAAAAAGAGTTATTTTCTTTATTTAATCTATAATTCAAAGAAATATAGTTATTTAATATATAAGGACTGGAAGAAAATACAGGAAGGAGTTTTAGTAGTAATTACACATGTTCATCTTGTCACTATTTTCATCCTCAACCCAGGCTGTAGGGTGACTGAGGTACTTTCACAGAAGAAATGGGCTGACTTATAAAGAGGTTATTTACAAGGTCTTGTACTAATTTGTGTCAGCACATGTCTCCAATGCCCTGTCTTTTCTCTCACTGTGAGATAAGTAGTTTTTCTGCCACCTCACTCTTCGCCCAGGATGAGAATACACAGTGGAGGTACTAGGAAAAAATCTGGATATATTCGCTATAAAATAAATGGCATACATCAGAACTTATTATTTGTAAGGCCTAGGGCATAGGCATAACATTCGCTTTCCTGTCCTTTGTGGTGTCTTTTTTCACTTTTATACAATTAATGTAATAATCCACAGGCTGATGTCAGGAAGAATGTTCACCAAAGAGAAGTGATCAATGAGGACTAGGGGTGACTTGTATTTTCTTCTTTAGAATAGTTATATTATTTGACTTGTTTTTAAATAAATGAGTATCCATTTTTAAATCAGGAAAGAATTAGGGTAAAAGGGAATATATACATATTGTAGGAAATCTGATAAACAGAAAAATAATTTAAAAAGAGTCATAACACCAGAAATTCCTAACATCCTATTGTCCTTCTTCTGGGCATACATGCTTATTTTTTACATATTTCTACTTTGATATGCTTGATATCACAGAGAACATGTTACCCTGTACCTTCTAAAAATCTTACATTCTCTTTTTAATTTTTTGTTCATATTAAAATGGTGATAGCCATCAATTCTTTCCCTCACTCTGGAGCTGACAACAAGAAGAAAATTATCCCTCTCACATTCTCTCTAAGTTAATAATTATTATACAAACATATATATGCCATACTAGAATTCTCCACAGTCCAGATGTCAAATAATTACTTTTACCTACTTCTTCAAACAGGGGTGAGATGGGCCAGACACCAAGGAGTGGATACAGAAAGATGGGAAAGGTAGTCTCACTAAGTATAATAGCTAGTGTGGCCCCACTGATTATGCAAAATCAACTGGGTTATTTTATTAACAATCCTTGAAAAAGAATTTTTGCCAGAAACAAGAGCTGTCACCATTACCTTACAAGAATTACAAACAAATGAAGACAGTGAAGGGGAAACAGAGGAACAAACAAAACACAAGGCATATAGAAAACACATAGCAACATAGCTAATGTTACTCCAACCATATCAATAATTATGTTAAAGGTAAATGGTCTAAACACTCAAATCAAAAAGCAGAGATTGTCAGTCTGATAAAAGAATAAGGTCCATTTATATGCCCTCTAGAAGAGACAGACTTTAGATTCAAAGGCACAAATCAGTTGCAAGGAAAATGATGGGGGAAAAAATATGTCATGCCAAGAGGTACCATAAGAAAGCTGGAGGTGGCTGTATGAATATCAGACAAAATGAACTTTAAGATGTGTACAATTCCAGACTTGGGAAGAGTCTAATTTTGTGAGAAAGGAGATCCCTGGAATTCTGCAGTACACAGAAATCCAGGTTTATACTTGAGTTGAATTTGATGTCTTGCAGATTTTCAAGGACTCGGTGGTGGCTGAAATGAAACTTTCTGTGTGGATTAGAGCAGAATCATGGAGTCATTCCACTCTGAGAGTTGAGTCTTAAATTAGTGTGTAGGGTCCCTGACCTGCACAAATTCTAGTTACAATGGTCCAATTCCTCCCTTATGGCAGGAATAATAGAACAAGCACCATTGTCTGTAGGCACCCAGGCTGCCAGCCACTTCACAGATGAATGCAGTTTGGTCATGTGCCGGTGCCCCAGTTAGTACTTGACTGGCAAGAACGGCTTGAATTAATAAAAGCAGCATTGAAACATCTGCAGGTTTGGTCTTTAGCTTCCACTTTGCTCAGCTATTTTTTTTTTTTATTTTTGTAGTATCTTTCAACCGAGCATGTGTGGCAGGAATTCATTTAGATACCACAATCCCAAATGGCATTCCAAAAGCAAGAGTGGAAATGCCTCAACCTGGTAAATAAAGGATAGTATCCAGAATTGGTCATCAGACTATAATTAGTGGAGCTGGAAATTAGCCATGCTGGAGACTCTAACCGTCCTCGATGAAATGCCCAGGGCTCTTTAGTTTCACATGCTGAGTCTCTCATTTTCTATTTTCTTCCTTCCTTTACTCTCAGACTTTTATATTCTATTAGCACCCAAGTACCATCTGCTATCCTTTTCATTCACTTTTCAAACCCTTCTTTCATTCCTACCCATTCTGCCTACCTCATCATTATAAGGTGGGTAATTCGGCAAAGATTCCAATTAGTGTATTATTTGACAGCACAGCAGTTTTTCACCTTTTAAGATAGACCATATCTTCATGAATGAAGATTGTATGTTTAAATGAAGAGTCATTTGTATTCTGTAAGAGCTATAAGAATTGGCACATGTGAAGCAGGTAGTTTTGAATGGAACTGATGGGGCTGGGTGAAGTCTCCCATTTTTCTACAAGCAGAGGAAAAAAGGGAAGAAAATCAACATTTATTGCCTACATCTCACATGCCAGGCAATTTTCTAACATCTTATTTCATCTTATCACTAACACTGTGGTGATACTATTATTTATTTTTGTTTTACAGGTGATGTAACTGAGACTCACAGGAGTTAAGGGGCTATTTCAAGGTTATAAAGCTAGTAAGTGGTAATGTTGAAATAAAAACCAATTTCTATCTGGTTCCAAAATCATTTCCCCCAACAGCAAGAATTTCAGAAGTCATGGGAAGAGAAATGAAAACACAGAGATGCAAAAGAACACACATCTATCTTTGTAATAACTGGTGCATAGTAGGTACTCAGAAAATATTTGTTTATTATTGAATGAATGCAAGAATTGATAATCTGAGTAAAGTTTTATTTATCTGTATCGCTTTGGGAGGAAAACTATGAACATATAATATGGTCATTAGTCATAAACTCATAGATTTGAAGGCAATTGAAAAGTCATCCAGTACTGGAAATTTCTCTACAACATCCCTGATAGTCTGACCCAGCCTATTTCAGGCTCTTCCAAGAGTGAGGTTTTCACTACTCCAGCTGGAAATTCTGCTCTGCTCTTGAGAAGCACTAATTGTTTGAAAGCATGCCCTTGTATCTCAAATTCTAATATTAACTCTGTATTAACCAAAGTGTTAGTCCATTTATCTAAGTCTTCTTTAACCTATTAATTTTATCTTAGAGTATTACATCCCATAAACTTACTACTTCTTGTGCAAAGTAACACTTAGTTTAGTTTTTCTGTCTCCATATTATTTTAATATCTAAAATTGCCTCTCAAGTTAATGTCTGTCAATTTATTTTCCTTCTACCAACTGTCAAGACTCTCAGACAAGTGTTTTAACTTATCCAAAAAAAAATCAACAAAATTGGAGATTAAGGTATTAAGATCATTACTATATGATAAACTATTTTAAAAATCAAGACAACATAATGACAGTGCAAACATAAAATACAACACAGCTATGATGCATTTTGCATCTAACAATCTTTTTTCATAGTGACAAGTGAGTTCTTGATAGAATTATGAGAGTTTATAAAATGAAAGAATGTGTTTTACAAAGACTATATTAGCTCATGTATGGCACTGCCATAGGTCAAGAAATTAGTACCACTTATTTAAGGTCTTAGATATAATGGTCAGTTCTTAGAAATCCTGATTCTCTTGGCCTTTTTGCTGGCCTTTGTCACAAGCCAGTTTGTTACCTCTTCCAGAATGAGATCTGTGTCCCAAGCTTGAAGAAGTTAGGTAGAAAGCCAATCCTTCTTTTTAAAAAAATCAGAATTGTAAAACATTTCCGAGAATTCCTTCCTCCCAGCAGACTTCCACTTATACCTTGCATAATGGTGTTACATGACCATTCCACATTGCAAGGGAAATAGAATATTTAACTTCCAGCGTCTATAACAGAAGGAAGAGATGAGTTGGGTGAGTGCTCGCTTCGGCAGCACATGTACTAGAGATGAGTTGGGTGGGATTTGGTAGTAAGTGATTAAACTCATAATGTCCACCGAAATGGTATTTCAGATATAATCAACATGATTACTATCAAGTTTATTCTTATATGAAGGGAACTTCAGACCAAGAAGGATCTCTGAAAGC